AGGTAGCCAGACTTCATCAATACCAATTCCCCTTCTTTTCAATAGAAATTGTTTCTGTTTGTAAATTTTTCTGAATTCTAACAAATTTATTTTTGCAATGTGTCCTTACGTAGTAATCAGTAAACCCAACAACATTATTTTATTTTAACAAGCTATATAGTATGCTCTTTGATATAGGTCCGTCATCGTTATTCATAATATTATTGTGTTTACTTATTTCTACACTCTCATAGTTGTCAGTTGTTAACTTGTCTAACTAATCTTAATGAAGTGAAGTCTATGGAATGGTTTTGTTGCAAAATATGATGGGCGACTGCTGATTTTTCCAAGTCGTTCATATTTTAAGTGTGCTATGTGTTCCTTATATCTTACTTTAATAGATATTTGTGTCTGTCCATAATATTTTGCATCGCAGTCCTTACATTCAATTTCGTAAATTCCAGACGTTTCCGAATTCTCGACTTTGTCTTTTGGACTTCCCAAAAGGCTCTGTAGTGTATGCCTTGTTTTGAAAACCACCTTCATACCTAGTTCCTTGAAAATCTTTCCAAAGTTCCTCGTATATTCATGGTATGGAACTGAGATGTACTTATCTTGGTTTTTGTTCTTTCTGAAAGTCGAGATTTCGTTCATTCTTAACCTAAACTTCTTCTTCCTTATTATGTCATCTACAATACCCCTCGAGAAACCGTTAGTGGCTGCTATTTCCTGTAGTGTACGTCTTTCTTTAGTGAACCTATTATGTGTTAGAGGGAAAGGTATGCCTGTATGGTTGGTACGCCAGGATGGTTTACCTGTATGTGTTACCTGTTCTGCTACACCTGACTTGTCGGTAAGCCGACGGCGGTAAGGCGATAATTTCTCTTCTGTGTGGAGTTGCTTTGGCATTCCCTTTCTTGGGTTGCATTGCCCGCTCGATTTTGGCCTCGCTATATTTTCCCTTGAAGGTTTTTTTCAAATAATTGAAATCCACTGAAAGACTCCTAGGTTTATATATGTGTTGGCACCTCTCAACTGAAATTTCAATCACTCCACTCTTTCATCTTAGCTGCTGGTTGGAGGTTTTATACCTGTATGTACGTGTTGACTTCCTGTGTGTTAAAACTGACAAACAATTACATTTGAAGAAGATATCATGTACCAAAGCCTGCTAAAAGACACGATTTAATTCACTTAGACTTTACGCGTGGAGGGAGATAATATTTCCGGAATCAATCAGTGCCTCCTACAAGTCGTACGGAATCGGGGAGCAGAATGGGTGTAACACAACTATGCCACTGAAATAGATGATTTTGTAAACACCGCCTCAACTTGAGGGACGTCTCAAATCAACCGATAAATCACTCGGAGATGGGGTTTAACGGTGCCATCTATAAATCTGTTCGAAAGTTAGGGACCGCCCCATCTATAACTTATGGCATTAATGATCATGAATTAGACCCGACAAGTATTTCCAAGGTACGTTACGGGCCTACATCTCGGTCGGAGGGGCTCTAATTTACCAGATTAATTTAGCTAAAGTTCATAACGTGTCACAAGTAGTTACGAGGGTGTCCCATAAAATCCACCCGCTTCTCAATATTTCACGGGGTGAACGGTATAAAGTTGTAAATTGTAACATTAGTTTTTGTTCTCATTGCCACCCTGCAAACAAGTCAGGTGTGGGAGATGACGAAGAACAGAACTGGTATACGAGATTTTTGGTCACAGGGCGATCAGGTGTGTTTTGTTGAATCGCCGAAAAAAAAACAGATAAAAACTACTACTACTACTACTACTACTACCACTACTACTACTACTACTACTACTACTACTACTACTACTACTACTACTACTACTACTACTACTATGGGAGCTCATGTTAGAAAAATAGCAGAAAAAGCGGGAAAAGCTATAAGCAACATAAGCAGCATAATTCCCAACATTGGGGGTCCTCGAGAAGGTAGCAGAAGAATTCTATGCTCAGTCGCCCAGTCGATCATGCTATATCGCGCAACGATATGGAAAAGAGCAATGGAAAAAAAGGTATACAGGAATATATTACTTAATGTTCAACGGAAAGCAGCCATAAAAATAGCGTGTGCATATAAAACAACATCAGCTAAAGCTCTGCTGATGATTGCCAAAACCCTCCCTATAGATCTGCTGGCGGAAGAGAGAACAATGGTACAAAACAACGTACCAAAAGGGTTAGCAAGGTTACAAATTATGGAAAAATGGCAACAATCTTGGGAGTTAGACGATGGAAAGGCCAACTGGACAAGAAGACTGATAAGAGACATAAAACCATGGATGAACAGAAAATGGAGAGAAGTGAATTACTTTCTCACACAAGTACTAACGGGGCATTGGTGTTTTCATGCGTATCTGTTCAGGTTTAAAGTGAGCGACACAGAAGAGTGCAAGTGTTGCGGGATGATAGATACGGTAGAACATACAATCTTTGAATGCATACGTTGGGAAGAACAGAGACGAAACGCAGACATGACGACAGGAGAATTAACACAGGAAAACATAATAGGGAAGGAAGATGCTTCAAAGTATTGAAAACTGGGAAGCCGTTAGTAAACTCTCCAAGACCATCCTGACAAAGAAAAGAACTAGATGAATAATAATGAAGTACTGGTTTTTTAGTCGGTAAAAATCCGACACTATCTGGTCACAGGGGGACCAGGTGTCTTTTGAAGATGTTTCCAATCGCCGAAAAAAAAACTACTACTTTATACTACATGAGCTGGAAAGTATCGGGCCTAACACATAGATGTCGCTAGTCTTATTGAATTCACCGCTTCTTCAGTTAGTACTGAATGAAACATGAATCCATCATTTCACTCCTATCGTCATCTGAGTGGAGATGGTAAAACTCGTCCAAAGCGTCATGAAGCACAACAATCGGCTGAAAAATTTACGGCCTCGTGGTGTAATATTCATTTACTGTCTTGAGAAGGGAAATGCCATCAACAGTGAATATTAAATAGCGTTATTGGGGCGTTTGAAGGCCGAAATTGCTCTTGATGGAAATTAGGTATTAATAAAGTCAATTTTGAACAAAAAAACACGTTTTTTTTCTCAGCCAATGTGTTATGTAGTATATGTTGGTTATGAATTGCATTTATTGAGATTGTCATACATATCTCGCTATGTAGTGTTTTATACTGACATTTTCACTGTGGATTCTAGGACGAACAGCTGTCAGAAAATCGTCTTTCCATCTTGGAATGGACACTTTCAATTATGGAAAGACAGTACTGCGTGAAATGATGACGCGAGTCATGCCCCGATATTTTGGGGTAGGTACCAGGAAAAACTACGCTTGGTATGCTGAATTGGCTTTCATGGCATTGTGAGAAGACGGGTTGTTGTTTAAAAAAAATTCCGGGAAAGTGACACGCTGGAAATTGAGTCTAGGTGCAGTTTTATTTTGTGGAATAATAGTTAAAATATCCATTGAAAAAGCATGTTTTACTCAATACGTGTTAAGCAAATTCATTCAAAAAAATTACGTGTCATTTCGAGATCCAACATGAACTCGACTCATTTTCCATACCGTCATCAGTAAACAACTTCCACCTTCTCTCAATCATTAGCGTAGTTGGTATGGGGGTACTTTAATCTAGTATTCAGTTTTGTATTGTATGAGAATGAGCCTGGGGGCGAGGAGGAGTCATTTATTATTTTCAGTATTAGAGCATGCACGAAAGCTTCTTTACATATAGAGCGAATTTCTAGAAGAGACCTTGCTTTATGCCGTTTTGTTCTGTAGTTTGTTTCTTACTAGTGCTACTTTACCAAAATTAGCTTGAAAGTTGAGTGAAACGATCTGAGATAATTTTAAGATAGATATATGGATATTGAGCAGTTTTTCAAAATTTCGTTGAGGAATTTTCCCATTATTTTGTAGAGGATAAGTTAGAAGTTCTAAAAAGCCGAATATAGTAAATTCATCTGCTCATTTCTGAGGTGTTACATTGTTACCAGTATCCAAATCAGCATCATCCAAAAGAGTAAGTGGTCAAAAAGAAGATGTAAGTAGGATGGTTCCTGATGAAAAGCAAATGATACAAAAATGGAACGAACAGAGGCCAAAAAGAGATAGATTATCATCATCTATCAAGAAAGCTGAAAATTGCAGTTGAACACAGCATAAAAACAGAAAGAAAACAAAACAGTCTAGATCATTATGATTGTTAGTTGACTTGTATATTGAATCCTTCAAGATTAGTTGTTTCTCCTAGATCCTGTCAAACCGTGAAAAACAAAATAAATCCTCATAAAAAAGGCAACTAAACAAATTTCATCAATAGCTAGAAAAGCTCTTGTAGAGAGATCTGGAAATAAAAGTCCTGTAATTGCTTTTTCCCGTTTCATCCTTCTAAAACTATTCCAAATATTTTATATTATTTTATGTTATGCTTTCCAATTACTATTATGTCCAGAAGCATTTAATTCCTTCAGTTAAATTCTATGATGTCAATACCAAAGATTATTGCATTTCATGTCAGTATCACTTATTTTTTAATGGGCCGTGAAAAACTCATGAAATTATAAGAACTTTCGTTTCGCGTTGAATTTTTCAAACTGCAGCATTATAAACGTTATTACTCCAGCTTAAAATCTTATCACATTTTATAATCTTCTCAGATGCCGACTGTTTAACAACCTTGTCATAACTGGTGCAGTCATTATTATAAAAATTTCCCACATAAACTCCTACAGAGAGAATTGAGTTATGCGGAACATGATATTCAGGAGAAGCTTAAATCTAGCTTACTTTCTTCCTCTTTAAATTTTCTACCTATGGCTTATCACTGTCTGAATGGCCTACCACAGGGTTCTATTCTTGAACGATCCTATAGGTAAGCCTGAAGAAGTTGTTGTTTAGCGAAACTTAAGAATAATCTGCCAAAAAAGACGTATTGCCTCAGTTATAGTTCAAATAGTTCAAGTTGTGAAATGCTTTTCTGGAAGAGATTTAAATGACTTTTTCTTTTCGATTGCAGAGCCCTCTACGAAACATGTCGATCTCAGATTTCAGGAAAAAGAAGCTCCTCTACGTGTTCAATGTGTTTTTTGGTAAGTATCAAACTGCATTTGATTTTTATATCGATTTCAATGTATCAGTTTCAGAAACATTGACATCGATACATTGATCGGTCTTCAAACTTATTGTTGTTTGTTTTTGTAAGTGGAAATAATTTCTGATCAAGAGGAAATGTAGGGATGAAAAAGAGTATTCCATTTATTTTTTATCTCTTGCATTTTAATGAAGGCGCCTTAAAAACTAGTAATTTGTAGATTTGAATGTTACTAATGGTGCACAGTTGATTGGATCACCCTGTATAAGAAATTATGGTAGCACACCAAGATGTATGATTGCGGATAATTTTTTCAGTCGGATTCAAAAAAAACAGCTAAGCATTATTATCTTTTCAGTCAGAAACCTTTCTGGGAATGAATATCTTCCAACATTATCGGAAAACAGTGAACAAAGGATAAAACTCCAAAACGAATCTTCAAGACTAGCAGAAACTCCGAAGTGAATCCATATAAAAGTGCTTAGCCGGAGTTAATTCCGTAAAAACTGATTTATCCCTTAAGTAAATATTGGACTTTCTAGGTGAAACAGAACCGAATTCACAAGCGCTTTCGGAAATTTGATCTGATGGAGCCTCTAACCCAGTTAGAAACTTTGATCGTTAGAAACCTTCGTTTGTATTAAAAATTGTTATTGCTGGGGAGGGTGCTCGAAATTTATTTTTATTTTAACGACTTGGGGGGAATGGAAAAAACTTTATGCTGTTTTGTTCACCTACTCTTGAAATATAATTCCGTGATCTTGATAACTTCAAGGGAAAGAAACATTTTGGCTGGTAGTGGACTCAAAAATTCTTTGTTCCCAGTACTTCCGAAGAGGAAATAAGTAATGATAATTTCGGGATGAAAGACGAATATTTCATTGTGCAACCGACATGATAATCAGAAAAATTGATTTACTTATTTGTTTATGATATCCAGTATCTTGAAGTAATACAACCGTGAATATGTTGCCTAATTATTTTGCTTGCAGTCGTTTATTGAATTATCATAAATAATTAATGGTATGTCCGCTAATGTTACAGCACAGCTGTTCATCTGTCAAAATCTCTACAAAAATGTTAACCGATAGTAAGATATTGAACTCCTTGCCCAATTTAGGGTGTTATATGTGTTTTTTTTTTGAGTATCATGTCACGTTGCACGCCATTTTTATTTGTCTTTCTCAGAATGTTGATTCAACAAAAAACAGCAAAAAATATTGTCCAGTATCGTTGAATTGTTTCATTACTGAAGCAAGTATTTTTCATACAAAATTCCGTCCAAATATACCTTGCAATAATTCATCAACACCAGTTAAATTTCCACAGGCGTATTACAAACTGAAAAAATCTACTAATTCCTAATGATTAATGCAGGGAAATCCCCGGGTCGACAAATAAAAAACAAACAAAGCCTTCTTTGGTAAATCACCTTGCCGCGACTTCTTTTAATGTTTGAGCGGTTGTGAGCGCACGAACTAATATTTCTTGGGGAGCTTGAGCTTTCTGATATTGATGGAAAGCGAAACTCTGCCAACTTTGCCGGAATAATGTAAATTGGAGAGTTGTCGGATCTCTATTGTTCGCGGGATCATTATCAGAGGGGGGAAACAGATTGTGGAGGAAATCAGTTAATTAATTATTAGTCGAGACTGGGAGCGGTTCCTGGAATCGTGGAAATCGATAAAATTACAGAAATGAAATCATAGAGATTTTACGGTCATTGGAACCTTTCTTGAAAGGGATACTGAAAAGCTCTGCTGAACTTGTCTATCTACTTTTTCATAGAGGTATATCAGGACTGATGCAAATTCATTCGATCTTTCTCCTGCTCCTTCTACTTGGTGAAGGAAATGAAGGAAACCATATTGATCATCACAGATTGGAAGGTCTTCAATATTTTTTCGTGGATCTGTACCTTCGATGCATCGGTCAGAAAATGCATCCATTCTTGTAAAAGCTGATGGAAAACATTCGCAGAATTGTTAAGAACGGTCAAAGAAAAAGCAAACTTGCAGGAAACAGAGGTTACCCTCAAAAATTTGAGGAGGACGAATAAGGGGTACCTAATGATGGAAGTAACAAGAGGGAAAGTTTGAAGCGGAGCGCTCCAAATATCACAATCATTGTCAACGATATCGATGCGGATCTGGATGAAGGTCAGATAAGGACTGATATTCTGACAGGCAGGCCAGCTCTATATGACGAGGACTTTGTGACGAAAGAGGTGCCAAAGGCCAAGATGTGGTGGTTGGTAGGAACTCGGTGCAGAGTCTACCCTAAAGTACCGGTCACAATTTGCTTCAGGTGCCTGAACTACATGAAATCTAATGTCTGTAAAATGCTAGGTTATTAAAAAAATGTCTCACATCGATATACATTGCTGTAGCAATAATAACTGATCACAGTTGACATCGTCATATTTAATACAGCCCCAGAGCTGCAATTTCTGTTAGAATCGCGACAGGTGAAATGTAACACATAACTCAGAAAGCTAATTTGAAAAGCAGAAAATGCTTTATTGTGCAATTAAGACCGCGATATAAATCTGTGCCGTTATTAAATAATAAAATTCAGTGTCGGCAGAGAAACGGACGATGAAAGCTTGAACTGAATTAGTTTTCATTACAAGCTTTCATTCAACTTGATTTCAGAACATATTGATGAGAACTTTTACTATTAATTCATTGGACAACAGTTTTGGTCAATTGTCAATTTAACGTGTAAAGTTTCAGTGCAAAAAAATCAATAAATTTTGAAGAAGAACCCATATATATTCAATATATGGATACCTATAAATAAACTATGGTTGTAAGAAGTCGTTGCAACAAATATCGTGGAAGACGTGCGGAACATTATAATCCACATAGTTTCTAAAATTCCAGTTGTACCTAGTGAACATGTATAATTCTCTGTCATAAACATAATAAGGTTTCTTGATAATAAAGCATAACTACCAGTTGTAAACGTATATTTCAAAAAGCTTTTCCCAACTGATGAAATAATTCTTACGCTAACTGATCACTTTAAAATATAGTCAAAACTTTATCATTATCAAGCCATTGTCCCTTTTCAATGAAACAACTCCTCAAAGTGTAGAACTAATAGAAGGGGTCTTGAGTATTATCAACATGGCAACATTTGGTAACTGACTGCTTCAAAGAAAATAGTTCAAAGAGGACTTAATAAGGTGTTTCGAGCCTTCCTCATGAATTACTGCTCTGGGTAATAATTTTTGATCAACTAACTGGGGTAACATTTATAGTTTGTCTTCGGATTATAAGCATAGATTTCTGGAGTAGAAGTTGTGATATAATTGAGCATATTCAACTGGAATACAAGAAGGATTTCTAAATTTCGAAATCTAATAATTTTCATCATACAAATGTATCAAATCAATCTACGAAACGTGTTGACTTCTTCAGGAGATGGAGTCTACTTTTCCAATCATTGAAGTGGTTGATATCCATCACCAAACTTCTAATCCCAATACTGAGCGAAATTCCGTAGATTTTCTAGTGGACTGAAAATGTACGCAGCTTCTTTGAACTTGCTCTTGAATCAGTGTTCCTCCCTGTGGATGATCTCAGTTTCGGACCACTTGATGGTATGTTGATGAGTCCAAACACCTAAAACCCCTACAACTTTGTTTGAAATTCAACATTGCCGAAGGAAAAACTTTGTCCTGGTTTTCTGCAAATAAACTCTAGGTAAATAGAGACGAAACAGGTACCCAGAATGAAACTATGAGACTATAATATTTTTTTCTGTACAATTACAGGTCATATACATCTGTTTTCCAAAATTTTAAACCAAAATAAATAAAACCATGATCATCCAGATTTTTTGAAGGTTATTTTCCGATTCACTAAGTTTTATCGGTTAAAATCCGTGCAAATCTATAATTTCTGAAATTCTGCCAAGGAAATTTACAGTGCGTGATAATTTAACAAAAGTTTTATCTTCGCACATTCTGATCGATTGGGCCTAACGTAGGTTCGAGGGGTATATTTTGATATTATTTGCAGAATAAGGAAAATAAGTCGGATTTTCCTCGAGAAAGATGAACTCATCAAGATGAAAAACATCGAGGGCCATTCGAATGCAAATGCGATTTAATGAATTTCATTTGAGGCGACCTCATTTTGCGAAAACGGGTTACTGTGCACCAGCGAATTGTTAATCGATATGCTCCTAATGAAATAAGGGCTGAACAACCAAGTCGTACGTTCTAATTATCCACTAACGAAGTGATAATGTTGTTATATACGCTAGCGCTGCGCCGTCGAATATTATTTGTTCTTGTTGGATAAATATTCTCAATTATCGTTCACAGAACGAGTATTTCCTGCGGAAATTCATTTCTGTGACAAAATCCCATGTAGTTTTAGCGCCATGCAATTTTATTTGTGGCTACTAAAATTTCCCTCAATGAAGTTGATCTGACAAGCTATAACAACGAATTTCAATTGGTCCAAAGTCCTGGGAATATCTGCACAATAGCTCGAATCCCTTTGTTTTTTCTGATGTTCTTCATCTCAAAGATGGTTGACATGTATCTTGATCTTTGCTTCCGAAAACACTCGTGATGGTCGCTTAAGATGATGAAGCACTAAAAATATTCGAGAATATAATGTCTTTCGGTATAATAGCTCGCTACAAAGAAGATGTTTCACATGTTCGGTTTCATAGACCAGAGAAGTCTGGTGTCACTGAACGTGCTTCAGAATGAGCGAGAGATTTTTGAAAGTGTTGAGAACAATACATTACAATAAGTTTTTAGATGTTTTGAAAAGTTTAGAACTCGAAAAATGTTGAACGAGATCTAGGAATGTTGACCAAAGTCCCATTTGTAATAAGGTATAGGTAACTGAATTGAACAGAAAGTAAACTAGCTTTTTATAATGATTTTCAGAAGGAACTTCATAGACGACACTGTTATATTGAATCCATCAAACTTTCATCGTTCTCAGTTTTTCGAAGTGAGCAGATTATTTATAAACAGTACCTGGCTGGAACACCCTTGTCGCTTTTCTCATTAATTTCGGTATTTACTTTTCAGATGTTAATCAGAGCGGCACCATAGACAGGAAAGACTTCGAGCTTGCGATAGAGGTAAGCAAATTTACTCTTCCAGCATTCTGCAAATTACCCTTCAGTATTTTACTCTAAGCCAGTTTAATTGCGAATTTGAATATGATTGGATTCCAATAACCCAGCGGGTTATTGGAATCGTTAATTCACATCTTTGCTCTTTGTCATACGTATTTCCATTGCAGTCGAAACACTTTGTCTCAAATAGCTATTTATGATATGAGTGTTGAAAGTGAGGTTTTATTTTTTGAGTGAAAATGTTTGCGAAACGAGCGTAGCAAGTTGAGCAATTTCACAAACATCACACAGTCATCACCCGAAGACGATTGTAGATACCAACAATCGAAACGTCGTGAACTAACGTGACTTGGAATCTCTACACTTTATTATTTTTTATTATTTTCTTTTTGCATTCCTTTATTTTTTTTTAATTCAATTATTATATTTTACTTGTAGGTTATTTCACTATCATTTCATTTCAGGTTTATTGTTGCTTAATATAATTGTTATTTTCAACTATTCTTTTTTTAATTATTCTTTTTTACTTGTTTCAGGGATTTCAAATCATTTTATATAATAGACAATGGAAGTCCGAACTAGTGAAAAATAAAACTTACTTTCAACACAAGTATCATACAGTTTTTTGTACAACTGTCCTGTTTTCATTATAAAATAGATGTATTCAGTATTTCTATAAAAAAAACAGTTTGACATCTCTGGTCAGTTACCTATTTTCGTGTTAAGTATCGCATTTGCTGTGAAGTAGCCGTGTCAGGTGACGCCGGACCACCTGGTTACCAACAAACGGTATTGTTTACAGCTCACGCGTTTTATTTGAAGTCACATTTAAAGTTCTTGCTGGTGTTTAATGTCTTGCATAATGAAGAACCATAGTGAGGAATTGTGTGTTCCAGGCGATATTGAAGAGGCTGGAAAGGGTTTTTCAATTGAATTGTTGCCAAAAAAAATCGGCTGAGCAGTACAATATCTCATATTCTAATTTTTCAGCTGGTGTAGACTTGAGCACGTCGGAGGAAATTTCAGAGAAACCGTCTTTTTAGCCTATCTAGAGAGAAATATGGAACTCGTCAACTTTGTGGAGCAAATTTTCAATGATAAAGTCGAGTGCAAGTAATGGGGAATGTTCCTCCTGACGAAAATCAAGTAGTTTTCATAAAATAGCTCTAAAACAAGGCATTTTAAAGTTATCATTTCAACCTTTTTCTTTAAAAAATTATTTTGATACTTGAAAAAGAGGAATGAAATAATGTATTCAACATTTAAAGAGATTCGTTTCTATTTCACCATTTGGCAACATCGGTTATAGCTAATAAAGGACAACGAATCTGTTACCTGTATGAGACAAACAAAGATGACATATTTCAGAGGCGTGCTGTTCTGTTTACTTATGTTCCGAGTTCCGAGACATTCTGTGACATATGACATTTTGTGCACCTAACCTGTCTTCCTCTATATAAATAAATAACAAAACAACTGTTGTTTATGAGGCTTATGGAGGTGGTAATGAACTGTAATTTATGTTTAGCCTTAATTGTTGATTAATAAAGATAATTTTCCTTTTTTAAAGTAGAATATCTAGGTACGTATAAATTATTTCAATTTGATATAGGCGCTGTTGCCAATATGTGAATCAGAAACAAATCCCTTTCAAAATTAAAACCCAACATTTGAAACATCAATTTGAACACTTTTCGAAGTGAATTTGAAAAACTCATGAATTAAACTCAACTTTATTTTGTTCAAACTTGCAGTTGCTGTAATAACCCAAATTGAGGAACATTCCCCATTCAAGGTGCATTCTTAAGCGGAAAAATGAAAGTTATATTCCCAAAAAATCAAAAACTCTTACGTTTGAACAAGTCCGGAGGTTTATAAATGAGGCGCCAGATGAAAAATAATTGATGATAAAAGTAGCTACTATTTTCGGAATATATAGAGTCTGCCGGCGTGCCGGCAGTGCTGTGCCATTTATCAATAGAATTTATTAAATTAATGGATAAATCATTGATTGTTTCAGATTCCAAATACAAAAACGAAAATTGGTCGTTCTTTCTGCATTGTTGGAAAAAACATTCACTATTTTAATAAGCGCGTTGCATTACGCCCTCCTGTTATCAATCATCAACCTTTTTTTTTGAAATACGCAAATTAAAAATGCAGTGCCAGCCCAGTTGGTATAAAGACGTTTGGAAAAATGCCCTCTACCATTGCTGAGTTTCTGAACCTCCCGAAACCAAAGGAATATACAGGTCACTGTTTCAGAAGGTCTTCTGCTTCTTTGCTAGCAAAATCAGGGGCAAATATAACAATTATTACGAAGCACGGAGGATGGAAGTCTACAACAGTAGCTGAGGGTTATATCGATCAATCTATTTCTTATGAAAATGCTATTTCTGAAAGAATAATCCCAACAGCTAGCTCCAGCTTTACAGTATCGTATTCTTCACTTCCAGAATTGAATGTTAATGCCCATGAAATTGTCAACTCAGCTAGTTCAAATATATTAGAGGGTTTTTCGAGTATCTTTATGGTATCAAAATTCAAGACGTGTACTGGAACCATTGTCTTGAAATTCAGAGCCTTTATTAGGAAAAAAAATTGTGATTCCTTCCACATTCAACGTATCACATTCATGTCGATAAAATATGCCTATTGTGCCACTGAGAGAGACATTGAGCTGAAGTGGCTGTCTTTTCCGATACTTCTTCAGCAAATCCACCTGAAAACGGTCCGATGGCTCGATAGAAAATCACATCGCTACAGTTTAACAACCCAACCTGGCCGTTCGGTTAAAATTCGCCTTGAGAATATAAAAACTGAGAACCTCGGTATCGATAATAATGTCTTCATGGCACGTCAAGGCTCCCAAGTTCTATGAATAAAACATTTTCTAACGTTCATCAATAGTGTTCACTGAGCCGAACCGCGGAGACCAAAACAGCTCCGGAATAAATTGTTTATTGCATGGATTCTGACGATGCTGATCTTTTAGGAAAATAAAACTAATATTTTTCAACAGAGGCGTACTTTCTGATAATTGATATGGATGTAAAGATACATGTTTTACTTTCAACTCCAGATTTTTTCAATTGAAACTAAGAATTTCAGAAGATTCCGCTTCACTCTGAAGCTACAGAAAAACAACACAAACAGGATTATCAGAAGAATTTTTATATTTTCAATACAGATTCTGAATTTTGTATATTATATGTATACACCAAAAGTCACACAAATAATAAATGTAAGCAACAACTGATCTCTAACAGAAGTACGGAACTGGATCAATAAACCCACAGGAAACCCACTTTATATATGAAGAAGAAGAAGAACCCAACTTGCCACTTCCGCAAGGTGGCGCTGCAAAAAAGACAAACAATTTCCTCAGTTTCATCATGTATTTTTGAATTTTATTCAACAAATATACTCAAGCACATTTTAGTGAATCTAATGAATAAATTGATTTTAATATTATTTTTCATTGCTTTTAGAAAATCTGTTCACTACGTGGCTGGTCCAGCGGAAGTGAGCAATACAAGAAAACTTTCGAAAGTATGATCACGATCTGGGAAGGCCTCAAACAGAGAGCTGATTCTAACAAAGATGGACAGGTATGTAGCTCTCTTGATTATATGGTGATGAGCAGCTTTTATATATTCATCAATTAGAAACTGACTTCCCAGAACTGTATTGCTATAAAAATGGTATTGTGAATATATCAGGAAGGTCAAATGATTTCGACGACTAGTACAGCCATTAAAATCACTTGACCTCAAGTCTCTAGATTTTTTTTCGGTCACTTCAAACAAATTCTCTTCTTAGTACGATAAAAAGACAAACTTAATAGAGACGACAAGTTATTTTTTTGAATTGTTATTCAAAAAGGTAATTTTTCACTCTTTCGCCTCAATCAGAGCATCTCAAAGATTATATTCCAATGCTCACACAGAAAAAATTATCAAATTTCAACAGTTTTCACTGCTTTTAGGTTAGCGTTGAAGAATGGGCATCTATGTGGGACGATTACGCAAAGAACCCGGAGAACGCTTTGGAATGGCAGACTCAATATTTGAAATTCATGTTCGATTTGGAAGATGCCAGCGGCGATGGATCCATCGACGTCGACGAGTTCACCAGCGTATGCTCGTGTTACGGGCTGGATACCTCTGAATGCAAGCAGGCCTTCCAGAAAATGGCTGAGGTAGGAACTAAGAAGTGCACAGCTTAAACTCACTCATATAACAATTGATATCGAATATTTTATTGTTCTATCACCTTCCAAAGGTAAAATCTCAGGGGGCATTTCGAAAAAAAATCTATAATTTTTGTTTTCCTACTCATAATACAATAGATGCAGTATTTTCAACTTTATTCGAGTAGCCCATTACCGCAAGATGGCGTTAAAAAACGACCCAAAACTCAGGGAAAATCAAAAGTGTTCGATACAAAAACACATAGTCCGTTTAACGACTCTCAAGTATACTTTTACAAGTTCTGATCTTCTGAAGAGCTGTGTAAACTATCACGACACCTCAATAAACCAACTAGTAATTCAGTGTTTGTGACTGGAGTCTCCTAAGACAAAATCAGAGTTTTCCTTGAGTTTGACGTTCAAATTATCAAACCTAGATGTCGCCCACACGGTGCATCTCAAATACGTTAAAGTTTTCTTCAAAAAACAAAGAAGTCTACTTTGGCTTCTGTTTCGGCTACTGTCCTAGAGATGGCAGGGTATTATGTTCGTATACATTATGAATAAAAAATCGTAATTAAAAATTTTCCACAGAATTATAATCTCCTTTGTATTGGTGACGGTTTATTTCTTTCATCTGTTTGGCTCATCTGTTCATCATCTGATAAAAATAATTCGTTTTTTCATGAATGAACTGTTTTCATACTTCCCAATGAATATTATAATTGCCGCTTTAGATTGCAAATATGAGTCTAATTTTGATTTCAGGGGAAGAAAGAAGTGAACTATGAGCAGTTTGTGGCCCTTTGGAAGCAGTTTTTCACTTCTGAAAACCCATCCGATCCCGGTAACTTCATCTTTGGCAAAACTAAATTCTAATCGCCCCAAAATATAAACAAAAGGAAATTTTTGTAAGATTTATTATATACTACACAAACTTTAATTTACATCTATATCATCTTAGCTCTAACTTTAACGGATTGGATAAACTCTCACATAATCTGAACGCTTCATATTCTGCGAGTCCGAAAAGTGATATTTCAGAAATTTTGAAAACGATGAAGTCAATTAGTATTATAACAAAAACGCGTTGTAAATAGATTATGGAAACGAAATATGCTATGGAGTTGAAGGAAATTGAGGGTTTATCCTATAAAATTGGGTATTTTTCTCTAAATAACTTCTACAATTTACTGAAGTAGATTTTTCAGACACATCTAAAATATCCAAAGTATGTTGTTCATTTCATTTTGATTATAGAGAATATATTGCAAAAGGTATATCATATTGAAGTTTTAAATTATTTGAGTCAATTAAACATTGAAAGTCGATGCCATACAGTTCTGAAATGCAGGAAATCGATATTTCCCACATTTCAGAAGCAGTGTAGCTCCTCTTCATATAAAGTCAATAACAAACGTTCACTTATCTATCGAACTGTTAACAACTATTCTAAACTGTTTTTCGTATTCTATCGACGTTTAATATTATGTATGTTTATCAGAAACTCAAACTGCATCATTCCTGGGGAAAGTTTATCATTTTTGATCATTTATTTACACACCACATGAGAACGGATGGTTGTTTTCATTAGGAAAATTTGAAAGTAAGGACAGAAAATTGAAATCTAATTTTCACCCTTGTCCACAAGATGGCCCACAATCCAACTTCAAAAGTAAAACACAACAGAAGGCGAATTTTTCTTCGAGATGGCACTAGCTGGGAAGATAACTTTGACTTTTTTCTACGAGATGATGCTCAAAAAATAAAAGTAAGAACACGAAATTGTGATGCTGATTTCAACTATTGTACACGAGATGGCGCAACATTCGAAATTCCTAAAGTAAGAACACGAAATTGTGATGCTGATACAACTACTGTACACGAGATGGCGCAACATTTGAAATATCTGAAGTAAGAACACGAAATTATGATGCTGATACAACTACTGTACACGAGATGGCGCAACATTCGAAATTCCTAAAGTATGAACACAAAATTGTGATGCTGGTACAACTACTGTACACGAGATGGCGCAACATTTGAAATATCTAAAGTAAGAACACGAAATTATGATGCTGATACAACTACTGTACACGAGATGGCGTAACATTCGAAATTTCCAAAGTAAGAACACGAAATTGTGATGCTAATATAACTACTGTACACGAGATGACACAACATTCGAAATTTCTAAAGTAAGAACACGAAATTATGATGCTGATACAACTACTGTACACGAGATGGCGCAACATTCGAAAATTCTAGGTTTATTAAAATTCTAAAAAATTGGTGGTTCGTTATTGGAAATGTTTCCTTTGCGTTGTGAAGCTAAACTAAATATATCTTGAACTTGAATGAAAATCACTAGTCCGTTTTTACCACTCAATATAATGTCAAGATACTAAAAAGGGCTTAAAATGCCGGCTTCAAGTATGAAATATGAATTGATAATGACAATATATTGTTGAGCCGGAAAATTTTAAGTACTTTTAAATTTTTTCTATTCATCTACACACTGGAATTTATTATATTTGTTAAATGTGAATATGTGTAATTATGGTGGAAGTAAAAGTGTAACAATAAATACATAGAGAAATATGAAAATTAATTTCCATTATTGTTCCTTGTCCACACAATTTTGCAGTCTAAGCATCTAATCATAATTAGGATGATATAGATACCAAAATCCTCGAATTATACTAATTCCTATTCAATTCCTAAAATCTTATATTCATTATTGATGAATTATCCTAATCCTTCACTTATATGCAAAAAAGTTGAGACAAAACCAAACATTCTGCACTTTTTTGTATGAAAAAAAGGAGTATGGCATACCGTTTTTTGAACTGAGATTACTACTGGAGTGAAATCTCAATCTGTCAAGTGCGACACAAGTCAGTTTGTCTCTTTCAGAAGTTTGATAGATTTATTAATTGCCCACGATGTCTGTATTGCGGTCTTCGAACTTGCTGTTCCCCAAAAAACTGATTAAGATCGTTAAATCATTCGTCTCGTATGATTGTACCAGGACAAATCTTATTTTAAATGAAGATACCAAAGTAATAGTTCAGGGATTTACAGGTTAGTGATTTTTTTTAATTTTGCTCTATTATTTCATTGTTTTTGCTTTCTTTCTGCAGAATTATTAGCATAACAATTTCCACTGTTTTTTTTTGGTATTATTATGAGACATGTTTGAATGTTTAAACAAAATAACCAAAATACAGTGCTTCCCAAAAGTTGAGTATAACATTAAACGAATTGTTGACAAAAATACTTCAAAAAATTTTTTCTGGCACGTCGATTTTTAATTCCATTGCAATTTGGTCATGTATATATTCAAATAAAGTCAATAAGTGATGAATAGTTCTCAAGACATTGCTATGCTAAGAATATTTCAACTTAAGGATAGAATTTGTGAATACTTGCTAGTCATGTAAGAAAATCAGAAATGACGAGTTCGATACACAGGAAAAACAGCGACTTTGCACAGCAAGCTTTCCCTGGAATACCATACAAAGATAGTGGGAGGTACGAATCCGAAAAAGGGAGGCCAGAAGCATTTAGACTTGCCAGTTTTCAGCTCAGTGAAAGAAGCAAAAGAAGCTGTTGATCCACACGCAACCGTTATATTTGTCCCGGCACCGACAGCAGCAAAGGTTAGAAATTTTAAACACTCATTTTCATTAAAAATTAACAGCAATGATAAGAACTTTTCACGTCGTTCATGGATGTGTCTAATGGATTTTTTCAGGCAATTTTTGAAGCCATAGATGCGGAAATTCCACTCATTGTGTGCATCACAGATGGGGTGCCTTTGCAGGACATGGTTCGAGTAAAACACGCACTTCTTCAGCAAGACAAGTCCAGAATGGTAGGCCCCAACTGTCCAGGGATAATAGCGTCGGAAAAGTGTCGCATAGGAATCATGCCGAATGCAATTCACAAAAAAGGTATCTTAATCAGATGTGATATGAAAATTCATACGGATTTGCTAATTTTTGGTTATTTTCATAGTCTTTTCCATTACTGCATGTTCTGGTATCTGGTTATACTGTCTGTTCCTTCTTTACTTTTTCTTCTACATTGAAAGTCAACCCTTTATACATTCTTTGGACTTTTCTCGCCATATTTTTCTCCTTTTTTTTCTGATATTTTCTCTTTTCCTTTTCTTTCTTGTTTTTTTTTATCGTTCTCAACTTATTATACTCTTTCAACTATCACTGTCTTTTACCATCAACTTTCTCTCCAAATTCATTATTTTATGTATATGTTGTTTTATTTCTTTCTTCTAGTTTGTGTTCAACTACCTTTATTCATATTTCCACCTATTATTTCGATATTCCGTTTTCCTCCATCATTTTATTCACTTTTCTCATCTCGTGCCTCTTCTACTACTTCCTTTTTTCATTTCATATTATTTCCAGTTAGTACTTTTTGGATTTTTATTTTCATTTTGCCAAAAATTTCTTATTCCTTCCTTTTTTTCTATTATTTTTTTCTAACACCTTGTTCTCTATTCCACTTTATGTATTTTTTTTCAACAGGAATAGTGGGAATAGTTTCAAGATCTGGTACCTTGACATATGAAGCCGTTGATCAAACCACGAAAGCAGGACTGGGCCAGAGTTTGGTTATTGGAATAGGAGGCGATCCGTTCAACGGTACTAGTTTTATCGACTGTTTGGATGTATTCCTGAACGACGAAAACACCAAAGGAATCGTATTAATTGGTAAGTACAGTTCAATATCCGGTCTACCATCAGCTAGAGAAGTTTGTATATTTCATTCCTCAGTATTGATCTTCTTGATGAATATGATTGATTTCAGGTGAAATTGGAGGTCAGGCAGAAGAACAAGCTGCAGAATATCTGTCAGAATGCAACGTAGGGTGCAAAGCTAAGCCCGTCGTCTCTTATATCGCCGGATTATCGGCCCCACCGGGTCGAAGAATGGGGCACGCTGGCGCTATCATATCGGGAGGCAAGGGAAAAGCCATCGACAAGATAAACGCACTCAGGAGCGTAGGTGTGAAAATTGCTAAATTTCCTACGGAAATTGGGAAAGTATTGCATGCTGAAATGGAAAGACTACGGATTATTTGATTTTTTACACATTCGTATTGTTTAAATAAATTTATAAAAGGGATTATTTCTACAGAAGTCACTGGCTAACTAACAAGTTATAATATAGTTATTTTGCTGGAAAAACTATTAGAAATCACAGAGTTTTATTTGGTGCTGTTAATCAATAGAGTCTCTTTAATTGAGACTGAATCTACCATGTCAAATGATTACAATTGAATCAGTCGTTTGAAAAGCCTTGCATGTCCAAAAAACATCGTTTTTTCAAATATTTTTATAGAGTAATGCAGATCATCAATCCCCATCTGTTCCGGCTCAAGAAAGCATTGTAAAACTGATGTCCTTTTGGCAGATTTTAAAACATTTTTTGGTTTTAGGATATGATAAGTTTAAGGAGAAGAAGGTTTTTCAAACGATTAATTCAATGGTTTGTTCGTGTTGAAGTGGAATTTCTATTGAGGTTGTAGTTGAATTAGTAACATTTCAAATTCAAAATCATATTACATAAATGATAGAACTGTTCAAAGACCATTAATATTTGAAGTAAGGAAATTTCCTGGATAGTAGACACAAATCGAGAAGAGTTTACGTAAGAATAATTACTGATAGAGGTAAGAGTGTTATATTTCCATCACTATTTCACCGAGACCAATCATTTAATACAACATAGAACTTGCAACAGTTTAACAGTAATTAATGAGAGTTTCAAAGTTGAATAGTCGATTCTGTTCAGTTGAGAAAAAATTACTATAAACTGGTGAACCGTAGAAGCTCGCATGACATGTCAGTATCATCTCTATCAATCATATATAATATTCTAAGCAATCAATCGATAATTACACAAGTTGATTCATGACGTGTACATACGTTCACGAGCAGCTGTCTCTAGACGATATAGAAACAGAAATAATTCAAGCGAACAAACCTAATTTTGCTCTGCCCACAGATATTGCAATATACATATGCATATATTTTTACTATTATATTACCTGTGCTCATTTATTTCTTATGAACTAATATGCGTTCTTGATTGGCGTTTGCTATTAGGTATCATCGGCGGTTGACACAAAACTGACAGCTATTTCTAAATTGGTTGTGTTACTAAGTCAATAATAATTATTGAAAGAAATATGTTCAATATATCTCCAGTTTTTTCAGGAACGCAACTGCTTCACAAATTAATCTCACTTTTACGTGTTGTTCCGAAAGTTAATCGAGAACACCTTTGATTGTACAAAATATTTCCATCTGGCAACATGGTATCATGTGGATCCATAAACGTACGCAATGTTTGGTTGGTCAACTTCCCTCTCTTTCTAGCGAAGCAAAAATAAATATATCTGTTCGCTCTTTCAGCATCTATTCACTACCTTTACTGTTGAAAGGTTTCGCAGTCGGATTTTGAATTTGAGAAGTTTTATAAAGCAAATTAAAAATTTTCGGAAAATAATTTTTTTTTGCCGATATTACGAACGGAAACGGTGTTTTGCCCTTTTTTTGTGGAAATTATTTAATTTCACTAATTTCTAATTATTGCATCATATTTTTCGGAAGAAACTAGAAGAAAGACAAATCAATTACAAGCAAAATTATGCTCGTCTCTGATAGTGATGTGCAAATCCCAACACTTTCTCAACAAACAATAAGGCATACAAGTTCCCTTTCTCTTTGTAATTCTACATTTTGTGTCATCGTTAAAAGAAAGTGGAAAATACAGAACATGAAAAGCAGCAAGATGATGTAAGTAATTTTTAAGAACCTACTCGTATATCAAATTCGTTATTGCTGTTTACTTTTCACCTAATGTGTAATAAAACTAATTGATATTGTTTTGGAATTATAAGAAGAAACATAAAGGGTTTGTGGCCCTAGAAACCTCAACAAATAATTCATTCCAGCTCAAAATTATTTTCTACATAAGCAATGTTTTTTATACACTAACACAAAGAATCAAATTAGTTAATTGGTGGCTTCAATTTTCTATGAGTTGGTGTCAATGATTTAGAATTGTAACAACAAATATTATCAAGTTACCACTTTCAACAGTATTACTGCAGGTAAATAGGTACTCCTCAAATTGATAGTTAACCACCTATATGAAGAACACAGTAATAAATTATCGTGCAATGGATAATGGATTTAATGTGTAAATTGAAGTTATTTGTGTTTCAAGGTTGGTAGCATCGTCGCTAAAACATAAATCAGCAAATAACCAAAATCACAAAAGCAAAGAATTAAATAGTTCTCATAATGTCGTCACAAGTGTAATAATAAGTAAATCGAACGTAACCTAAATCTACTTTGAAATTTACAATTTACCGCTAGTCTAGTCTTTATACTTGCTTTACATGACTCATTGTATAATTTGAAAAGATTTGATTGGTTCATCATGACCTCATCGCCTCATCCAATACTTGCTCTCTTTCTGATAAAACAAGCCGCGGAAAAGAGGGAATCATTCGACGCATTTCGCGTAATGTCCCAAGTCTTTGTTAATTCATTATTATATAATCAAATAGTTGAAGTATTGAGAGATTTTCAATGTTTCCAAACAATAATTTCTGAAGACTCGTTTGTTAACAATCGCAATTTAAGTATATATCCAATATAAGACGTAGTCAATCGGCCACCAATATCTCCGAACGTACCCGAACACTATCGTTTTTCCTGCAATCAACATCTCGTTGACATCGCCAATTTTTGGAAACGTCATTAACAGTGTGAAAGTGACGGTGAGTGGACGTGTTCCTCTTTGTGGTACACGGTGTAATTTTAGAAAAAAGAGCGCAAAGCGAATAGCGATCTGAAAATAGTGCAATTCATTGTTTTGATTGGATTCAGCGTGATAATTTGAGAGTAGGTGATACTCCCAGCTTTGTGAAGAAAGAAGCTACAAGAATAAGTCGAGTAAGATATTTTTCTTTGCTAATTTCTTATCGAGATACCGCAATCTATATGATACTGGGGAATATCTCGAACTAATGTTTATTTTTCTGAAATGCTGTGAAAAATGGTGCCGGTTTCACGATAATTTGTTGAAAATGAGTGAAATTGGTACCGTTAAGAATATGGTGTATAATTTGGATTGCGTTTTGCGATAAATTATATCAATTGTTATGAGTTCTTGAACTTTTCTATCTTTTGCGGACGTTTTAGTTTGCTTTTTGATTAGATATGAAAATTGATTGATCTTGAACCAGAGAATATCTGTAAGCGGTTTTTTGTCACATATTTCTGTGTCTAATTGATAATACATGACCTTTATTCGATTTCAACACATGGAGAAAGCTGTGTTTTATAACTTTGAAGGTATACACGACTTTTAATGAAAACTAGAAATCACTTCTGAATTGCAAAAGTTTGGACTTTGTCCTTGTGCTAGGCATACTTTGTAGCTGAAATTAGATTGAATCGAAGCATATTATTATTACTGGCATAGATGAATCGCAATTCATTTTTGTGTTGTGCAGATTCCCTTTTTTTAATGGTTATTCTTTTTACTGAAATCAAAAATGATGTATGTTGCGCAATAATGGGCAATTCTCTCGTGATGCGACGTTGCCAAGCATCTTCTTGTTTGTGTCGCTACTGTCGAACGAGGAACAAGTTTAGGTAGGTTTAGGTGATTTGTACGGAATTTCCACAAAGATTGAGAACCGTTATGTAACCTAAATTCCACTCGATTTAAGAAGTTGCTTAATTTCTTCCAAGAGAAAGTTTTAGGTCTCTTAATAAATCGGTACTACTTACTTACAGGGTCGAACACTTTATTGTGAGATTTTTTCAAGTAAATGGTTTAACAAAAACCCAACAAGTGCTTTGCTGTACAATAAAATAAAGTGTTTCTTGAATACGTTATAAATTTTCATTAAGTATCGACCGATTCCATCACGAGTTAGTGAATTATTCAAAATGTATCGAAAATTAAATGAAACAAACTTTTCTGGCGTTTCTTTAAGTTTGTCCTATTTTAGATGTTTTTTTAATGTGGATCAGTAGGTTTACTTCGAGAAATCCCTCTCGTTAAAACAGAACAGCCCTGAAAAACTTTTTTTTTTCACAAAAATCGTTGGAATTTTTTGTAACTCTTTGCTACAACTGGACCTTAAAGAAGTTTTTTCCGATTGACTCGATTGTACTTGACGAAGTTCCATAGTAATTTCATAGAGTACACCTCACGATTTGATCTTCACAAACTTTATTTTCGAAAATATCACGACATGCCTATCACTGTAGCTTTCACGTAGTCAGATCATTTTTTTTCAGTATTCAGTTGCCCGCAAATGAGACTTCATGTCTTCAAAAGAAACTATTTTTTTCAAAATTTGGGTACTCATTTATTATCCACAAAAATTACAATCGTGTGTGAATTTCTGAAATTTGGCATACTATTTTCATAACACTAATGGCCGTATTCTCCGAAGAGTGGCTTAGACCTTGAGCTCGTTCATTCTAACAAAAATCGGCCTCAACTTGAAGTTGAGTCGCTAGGAGCTAAATCTGGTGAATACGGGGGCAATTCGAAGTTCAATTCATGTAGTTTTGCCAGACTTGTGACACGGTGCGTTGTCTTGATGAAACAACATTTTTTCTTTGCCGTATGCTGTCGTTTCTTTGCAATTTCGTCCTTCAAACGCTCCAATAACGCTATATAATGTTCACTATTGATGGTAAGTTCACTTTTTAAGTTTGTCGGTGAATATTACACTACACACATCCCAAAATACCAAGGCAATAACCTTTCCAGCCGATTATTGTACTTTGGACGAGGTCATTGAAACGATTTTGTGGATTTTTTTTTGTTTTCTGATGTTTTCTGCATCATCGGTGTCTCTACGACCACGTTTGAACTCGGCAAACCAACGTTTAATTGTTGTTTCTGATATAATACTGTTCAAGCCATTGCTTCAGTTGAACAGTATTTTTTCCCATCAAGAAGCAGTGTAACAATAAAACACGAAATTGTTTTTGATCAATTGTTTTGAAAATTACAAAAGCATATAAGCAATTGTAGTGTGACACAACTTTCCAAGATTAAAGTGGTTATTGTTCAATCTGTTTCCTAGTTCTGTGTTCAAAACCCACCGGATTTTCAACCGCCAATTCATGTTTTTTCTTGTTTGAACAGCGTATTTTCCAAATGGGTACTGAAGTTATATAAAAGATAAAATTAAATTATTCAAGGAATTTCAGTTCAGCCGGCAACACGGTTATTTCTAGGAATCGTCGGTTTACAGTACTTTCGCGTTTTGCCCACATGCTCGACTTCCGAGAATTTTTCGTATCGATCGGCAAATACTGACGTACGATTTAGTCCCAACGTTTTTAATTTCGCAATCGACCTTGATTTCGATTCGAACCGTACGAGGAACAGACTTGTCGAAGCTTGTTTCTAAAGCAGTCGCACCCACACGAGCGATCAAAGTCCGCTTTTTAAAAATCAGACAGATGTTATGTTTAGTCTACGAAGTTAAACAATGATAAAAAATTCGCACGTTTCGATAGGCAAGATTTGGCGATAGTGATAATTTATGAACATGATTTTTAGGAAAGTCTAGAAGTATTATTTTCCGATCAATAAAATTTTTGGTTCTTGTTTTTCGTGCACTCTTTCAAATAATATAATAAGGTTACAATTTTTTTTGGGGCTGTATCATTTTTTGATACACGTATCGACTTCAAGTGGATTTTATTAAAAGTGGGCAATAAGATGGGAAATTCGCCTCTACATTATAGCTGTCATTAAGTTGCTGATAGGAAAGAAACCATTAAATTATCATTTTGTGACGCACCAAAAAATCTCGTGATACGGTCGTCAGCACGATAATCTTTCTACAAACCGCGAATAGGTATATTTCATTTCAGGTTGTTCTAGCTTAATTTAAACTCAACGGGTGGATATTGCTTCAGACTGTCTGTTGAAGGTTAGCTAATTCACCACTTTTTATACGGGGCTTCTCAAAAGTAACGGATAAATTATATAAAATCGTTGACAAAACATACGTGGGTGTAGTACTAAGATCTGTTGAGAATAACTGAATATTTCTTTAAATATTTTTGATAATTCGAGCTGACGAAATATGGATCTTCGATATCGGTTATGCGGACCGATATCGATCAGTTTAAATTGCGTGACTTGCATTTTATCTCAAGGTGGCCCTGATCTGTACAATCATCCGCATGGAGAGGAATGAACCTAAAACAAATATTAGTACATGTTTATTTTGTTGATTAATTCAATGTTGGCGTTTACAGAGTGATATCACTCGTTAGTTTCTCTCATATAGGCTCGAATTTTAGGATAAACCCGGGTTTTTTTATGGTGAAACAGCTCTTTTTTTTTGTATATTTTCGAAATTATTTTTTCAGATTATTATTATTTTTCAGGTTGAGCGTTCCTTACTCTCAACTCTTCTTCTGCTGAGTTCCCCGGAGAGTCAACATTTTTAAAACCGGACAAGGCGAATCTAATGTAAGTGCTATAGATAATAGTTATTGAATACTGTGGCGTCCAACATTTTGTAAGAATTGTTTATTTTTTTAAACATTTGAAAAAATACGTTTTACTTCATTATATTGATATACAGGATGTTGGTTGGTTAGTATGTGGGTGTAGCTAATATTTATGCAACCAAGAAATTCAGGTTGAAGGATTTTTATTACTTGGAGATGTTTTTTTTTTTTGTGAATACCTTGTTAACAACTCACATTTCTTTAGATAAATAATTATATGTATAATAGAATGTTTTATAAGCAAAAATACTGTTTCAATAATAAAACATTATTATGTTTATCAGAATATAAAATATCATTTAGAAAAAAAACTTGATTTATGTTGCAAAATTGAAAAAAAAAGATCAGGAAAAGCAAACAAACTTTCAATTTTTTTATTTTTGATGGTGAACAGTGATGCTTTTAAAAACATTCCAAATGCCTCATTATTTATTATAATTTGCATAATTCATGTACACAATCATTTCTAAGTAAACCATTTACACAGACAACCGCCAATATCTTGAATACCAAACACCGAAATTTCTTATAGGTAAATGTGAATGTGTGTGTGTAAGTAGGTATTGTAACTTGTTGTTTCTACACATGCGAATATTTTTAGAAGGACCATACACTGGGGCCAATCGAAAAATTTCTAAAATCCCCCAAAATGAAAAAAACAATCGGTTTTCCGTTCGATGGGTCACCTGTCAGAACTCCGACGAATACCAACCTAAGCCACTGGAGAGGTTGTACATGATGTATCTTGTATTGATTTAGAGTGCCTTTCGAAGATATATATTTCCACTAATACCATTAAAATGTCATATTATCATGCAATGGTAATCATGAAAAGATTAGTATGGCGGTATGGTTGAGCGAGTGGATTTTTGTTCCGCCACGAAAAAACACAGCATTTAATTGTCTCGAACTTGAAAAGAAATACGGTTCTATCGGATGTAGCCAGTAGATTTTTCTAGAATGTTTTCCAAAAGCTTCAATACCTATTTTTTAAGGGATTGGGCCTGGAATGGATTCCTGTGGCACTCTAAAAATAGTTTGCTTTCATTGTAAATAGCTTTGACGTTTTGAGGTTGAAAGTATGTAGAAATTACACGAACGATAACGTTGCATTTGAATTGTTGGAAGTAATTTTTCCGTACTTGGTGACTGTGTTTTTTCATAGGGACATCGATGAATGGGACGAACCATAACAAAGTACTAACACTAAATTATCATCACTGCTTTTCACAATAAAATACTAACGTAATCGATATGGTCTCGAAAGAAAGTGCTAAATGTCTACTTCAATATAAACGGACTGAGTTGGAATTCAGTCTGGTATTTCCAGTCCATATCGAACCATCACATATTTTTTATCATCCTTTGCTTTCAAATTTGAATGTACTTTTTTTTTTCAAAAAATCAACTCTAATTGAAAACCCTATTAACTTAACCTGTCTATGCGAATAAAATACCTTTACTATAATAATGAAAATCTAACTGTTTCTGAAAAGAAAAAAATTATTATCAGGCCTTCATAATGAAAATAATGTTGATACATTCAAATCACTACCAGATATCATTCTTCTATTGACCTTATGTTGGTACTTCTTTTCCTATCGCTTTAAGTGAAACAAGGACTTTTCATCAATCACCGGAAATGCAGTACTATTCTAGACGTACGTTTTACCAACCAAACTGAAGTCTTCAGTAGATGAAGAAAACCTAATTCCTCTCTCTAAACCTGGCCTCTATTTTGTCATCTCATGAAGGCACCAACTTGGTTAATGAAACGCGAGTCGAGAATAGTATTGCAGTTCTGGCAATTAGGAAAAGTGCTTGTTTTGGATTTATTCTACGCCAGAAATTCCACTTTTACCTTGTATTGAAAAACTGTACTTTATATTTTTACTACTGATTAGGATACTTCCGTTTTTCAATGAAAATACTAATGGTTTCATTTCTTTTTTGTATTATAGGAAAAAAGAAGAATGTTGAAGGATTCAAGGGTATACTTTTCACACAAATCCCTATTTATTATATATTGTATCTTTAAGAATAATAAGGTCATTTTAATTATGTCCACTGTTTAAAATTCACCGTTTTATAAGACTGTGAAGGATTCTCTAAAATTGAAAAGTATCAAAGCCATTGTTCTTTTTTCAAGTAAACTGGTCTAGTGGTCCAATAATCTTTTTCAAGGAGATTTATTCGGATAACACGATTAATTTTTTTTGTAAAAACTATTTTTTTCGTGCCAACGTTTCGAATTTATTTAATTTCTTCTTCGCGGCTCTGCAACAAAGAATCTTTATGAACATAGCTCCCACAAAACATAACTGTTATCATTTCAATATTACGAGGAATCACAAATTCTTAGATAAATTACTCACCGAAAAGGAGTTTCTTCATGTTGAAAATATAACTATTTTAAAAAAACAGAATTATAAAATTTTAAAGACAACACTATAAAAGCACATTGAAACAAAGGAATGGCTTTATCTATAATACTAATAATATGTCTATCTTTATCGATGACAAAAGAATTTGAATGAAAAAAGGGGGAATTTCCCCCTTTGTTGTTATAATTTTAGTGTTTTTCTTTTAATTATGTATATCATAAGTCTGATGTTTTAGAAATAGTTATATTTTCAACACGAAGAAACTCCTGTTTAGTTAATTAGGAATTCATATTTTCTCTTAACATTGAAATGATGACAGTTATAAGTTTTGTGGGAGGAATGTGTATGAAAATTCATTGTTTCAGAGCCCTGAAGAAGAATGTATATCAATTCGAGACGTTGGCAAGAAAATATTTTTTTTTATTGATCCTGTTGCCAAATTAACCCTTCCTGAAAAAAGTTATTTTTTTATTTGCATTCATTTCATCAATACTTTATTATTACCTAAATTTAGTATGCAAATTTCAAGGGCAATGCACATCTATAAAGAAAACTCTGTACATGAATGTATCATTCGGATCAAGAATTTTTTCCATAGATGCAGTGAGAATCATTTACTTTGAATAACTCAAGAAAATTGACGATGTCTTTCTGTGTTTTGAATAGAATGAACAGTGGATGTATTATAAACAACTTTAAGCATGTTCTTCCACATATTGCCTTGTTTTTCAAGAGATGTTTCAGTGTCAGTTTTCACTCATATTTTTTACCTTGGTTTCTATGCTTAAAGTTGTAAGTAGAAATAGTTTCATGTTGAAAAACCTATATTCATCTACAAGTTCACTTTCAAAATTGGTTTTTGTTTGGCCTTTTTTTTTGGGGTATACCAAACAAAAAAATCATCTGTAAATAGGAAGTCTGCAGTAAGTGGTGGTTTTTTCGACTTTAAACAATTCACTAGATCTGTTTGTGCAAAAAACATTTCAAAAAAACTTCCGGGGCTATAAATTGAAAAAAAAATAAGAGATTTCCTGTTCACCACAAAAATCACTCGAACGTAGTCCGCCGGTGTCATCGTCGGGCATATACAGTGGGAAACATCCTGTCTCCTTTGCTCTATTGAAATTTTATTGTTGATTTTTTTTCTAGTCCCTGTCAACATGGCCTACGCAGTTGAAATCATCACCCGTTATGGATCCTTCCGAGAAATCCACGCGAATAAGTCGCGCAGATCTGATCGGGTTAGATATTCCCCTCCCGGAAAGTCAAAAGCCCGTTACGGACCTGGACACGGACCCCGAGAAATTTGTATGCGTGAATCCCTACGACGTCAATCCATTGGTAGACAGAATAGATTCGAGTACGCCACTGGTGACCATAGACATACCCTTAAAGGTAGGTGAAGGCACTTTGCGCGAATTGTTTTGGGATAATCGATTTTTCATTTGAAGAGGGACACTCGAAACGAATGTCTTTATTTACAAAAATGAGGGAAATATAAAACATTGTTAATTATTGTCAGTTTATTTGAAGATTTGAAATGTTTGTTTTTCTATTGAGAATCATCCTGAAAGCTGGATTTTGTTTTCTTGAAAGATTTTCAATTTTATTCACAATAAATTTCGTCCAGACTAATTGTTTCAAGTAAATCGATTTCGATCCCTAATTTTTTTCGTAATATGTCGGGAATGTTCAACAGAACGTTAAATTTTCTTCAAAAACCCCACCATTATCCATTGATTATAGTTAGAAGAGTTGTAACATTTTCACTAATAATATAAATGAGAATGTCACCAGCAAATACTTAAATTACAAATTCCTAATGTGTTTAACAATGTGTTCTATCTAAAAAATAAGGTGAATATTCAAATTTCGCGAGCCACCTATGGGTATGTGGTTATGATATCGAAGCCAAAGCCCACTGTTTTATTCAATTATTGTGGCGTAGTGTGTCTAGAGCTCTTGCTTGCGAGAAGCAATACGAATAAAACGTCCAATATTGTGGAAAACAATTCATGACCTTTGTATCGCGATAATGCATCTACTCGCACTGTATTCATGCTTCAGCCACCTTATTCACCAGATTTGGTCCCCTGCGACTTTTTTCTGTTCCCAAGATTGAAGGGACCTACGAAAAGACGGCGTTTTGCGTAGATTGAAGAGATTAAAACTGCATCGCTGAGGAGCTCAAAGACATACCAAAAAGTGCATATCAGAACTGCTTCGAGGTATGGAAAAAACGATGACACACGTATTTCATATCTGAGGTGTAATACTTTGGACTGGACAAAATTGAAATTGATGAATAAATGAATATTTTTTTGAGAAAAACTAAAATTCACCCTATTTTTTTTAACATACCATGTATATCATTGATAAATACATTTATAAATATTGTGAATGGACTCTTGAACAAAACTGAGGATCGCCATAAACATAATTTAAGAGACTAATCGGTGCAACTGATAGAATGACAAATACCCAAAAAGGGTCCTTCCTTCTTCAATAAAAAATCGATGATCCCTGAATTTTTCTGAAATATTATCCCAGTTCCTGTTTTGTTTGGTAACCCTGTATGTTAAGCCACTGTAGAGAAATCCAGTCTTGATGATGTGAAGCGTGGATTCGCAGACGAGTCATACGGTGTGTTTGATGTCGTTTGAATCAACAAACTTTTATGATATTGTTCATATTGAATGATGTTAAAAAGGAGTGATGACTATGATAGTTTTCATCAGTTCCATTCGGTGTTGTATGGATTCCTGCACAGATAATGGGTACTTGTAGGAGACTGGATCTTTCGTTGATGAAGAGGATCCATGTATGAATATATTCCACATATTGAATTGGAAAATTTGTCCTAGCACTGAATTTTGTGGGAAGTAATCAACAGATGGCTCCACTATAGTTTAATTACCTTCATTTGCAAAATTACTTGTCACCAAGTTGATTTTAATTGAATCTGAGTGCCCAGATCAATAATCATTTCAGTTTCGAAGCAAATCTCATTTTTTAGCTTCCTTTTTTCTAATAATCATTCATTTTTTTTATATCATTTCAGATTAGATGTGACATTTTGACAGAAATTGTTAATTTTTCTTATCTAGTCTCGGAGAGATTTAAAAATTATTCAGGTTAAAAATTTATGATAGTATTTGTGAAGAATTATGATAATTTTACATCATTTTAATAAGCAAGAATCCTGGTCCATGTAATTTCAACTTGAAGTCAACAAAACGATTCTGTTCATTGTTCTGGTTTTATTCCTTTGTTCAATTTAAGATGTTTTGATGCATATTCTACAATATGTAAAAACTATTTTATTAATTTTGAGAACATTTTTATCATTAAACATTTCTATTTCAATGAAGGCATACCCTTAAAAAAATGTAAATTTGGGGGTTCACACAAACCAACACAATACTCTCAGGTTTTCTATAATAATAATAATCAGTTTTTCAACTATCCTTATTACAAACTTGTAAATAGTTTTCACTTCTTCGGATAGCTTTCAATTATAATTGTTATAGTATATTTTTAACAGTATCTATAATCAGAAAATGCTTACATTGTTGTTTTTCAATGTTATATTTATTTAAGCATTATCTGTCATAATCTTTTTTATGGCTTATGTAAACTGGTTCATTAATTCTAGTGGATGATAAGCCAAAACAGAGACACTTTTGTTAATATTGACTTACTATTTGATTTATTTTCTAAAATACTTTTGCACCCAAAATTATTCCGTTGGCAATAGATAATTTCTTAAGCAAAAAATGTTCCTGGTGTGATCACTTGGACTCGTTCTCTATGGAAAATATTTTTTCAAAAACTCAACCTAGAGTAATCTTCATTGCTAAACTAAAATTTCAACTGTTGCACCATCTATCAACGAGTGTACAAAGTTAGGTCAATCTCGTCTCTCGCGTCAAAAGTTTTCTACAAAACTAAGTAAGTCGTTGAAACACCTTTCTTTTGCTATTTATCGTAAGATGACGCAAAACTCGACTTGAAAAGACAACTTAAACCATTCATCACAAGATGGCGCTGAACCACAAAAAAGTATGGACACAAGGACAATACCTTCACTATTCGCCGCAAGATGGCGCAGTAATGTAAATATTGTAAAATAGACATTTTTTAACTCTATAGAGTGTTCATTACTAGTCGATAATTGATAGATACAATTAAAGAGAAATCGAGTAGTCTGAGATCTGGTCGACTGAGCAGGTCGCATGTCAAACATTTTTTTATATATTGTTTGAACTTTTCAAAACTGATGCTCCATTTCATTTTTGACAAACACTTCAGAGACAGTTTCGTTAATGTTGACATACTGTTGGACCTTTAAAAATTTGTCAACAATGAGTAATAATTGGATATTGTGGTTTGATCAAAATATTTTTAGATGTAAGCATTTTTTGTGATTTATTTTCTAAAGTAATTTTGCACTTAAAATCATTCCGTTGGCAATAGATAATTTCTTAGGATTTCTTCAATAAATATAGTTGAAACTCATCAGTTGTATAAAAAAAAAGTCATCTGAATTACTTCCCATTATTCATCATCTAGAATAATTCAATTCCTGATCTGAATGTGGTGTTATTATAATTTAATTTTAGGGCGAGTGCAGTGCTGTTCAAGAAGAATTTTCCGCGAGGAGAAGCAGCGGGTTTTACGGGACTCAAAGAAAAATCAAATTGGAAATGGAGGAATTTGGCGATCTGTCGTCGTTCCTTCCAAGGCCTACGTTAACAAATTCTGTAGATGAACTCAATACTCCGATTTTTGGTAAGTGTAAAAAACAACCTCCGAAATTCTTTGGATCAACCTTGAACCCTCGATTTTCAGAAAAGGATGCTTTTGACTTCGATATCAGCAATTTTCAGAAGAATTGTCAGACAGACATCTTCGTAAAGCTGGAATACGATGCGAACTACCGACACAAAACCGTAACCACACAAGAAAATAATAACAACACGAACATTTTCAATGAGCCGGAGAGAGTGCATCGAAAAGAAAGTATCCCCAGCGAAATAGGAAGTAATAATAATATTCATCATCTACAGCAAATATCCGGCGCGGCATCAGCCGCCGGGGTGTATTCCCCGCCCGCGTCGGAAAACGGTACATACATTTATAGGACGATCGAATCGCCCGGTACAATTTCGTACGACGTGAACGATAGTGCTTTAAGTGGTGTTATTTCTAGACATTGTTCTTACCCTTCGTCCCCTTCTGATTCTGTATTCACGCGGTTCCACGCGGGGATGGAGACTCCTGAAGACAGCTTCAGTTCTTACGATTCTGCCGGTAGGAAGTTGTCACTGGATTTGAGTCTTCGAGCTCCCGTCACAGACGTGGTGAGCACACCAAACATCATTGCCGATGTGGTGGATTTGGAAAGCGACGGATTCAATATATTGGATCTCGTTAAGGATGTGAGTAGTCTTTATTCAGATAGATAGATCTTTATTTAAAAATAGGTAACCCTAATATACATAAATATCCCAATTAAATCAACGGTGTATATATACAACATTAGACAAACACAAAAAAAGAAATACAATGCAACAATAATATACGAAAATCACAATTTTAAAAATAGAATTAATAGAATTAGTAGAATTACAAGAATTGCTTTCAATACGATATCTATTTCATCTTAATAAGTTCTTTCAATTGTTTTTTAAACAAATTCAACGATGATGATGTTTTAATGAAGTCCGGTAGTTTATTAAATTCTTGGAAACCTTTGAAAAATAAAGAGTTCATAGTACTGCGATAAGCAGTGCTGCTAATGTGAATGTCATTTTTACCCCGAGTGTTATAAGTGTGAATGTCTCTATTCAATACTATAAATGTATGAAAGTAAACAGGAGCCAGGTTATTCAATATTTTATATACAAAAATCATTGTGAAATAATACATTCTTTTTTCGACTGAGAACCAATTAAGCGTTGCTAACATAGATCTTATGGGGGTGAGACGATTAGTTCTCAGAATTATTCTCATGCCAAGATTTTCAAGTTTTTGTAGCATATTCAGCTTAGTAAGATCAAACAAAAACAGGGCTGATGAGCAATAATCAAAATGCGGCTGAATAATTGAATTATATACTGTTATTTTTGTTTCGGTTGATAATTCCTGCGCTATACATGAGAAAAAATAAAGTTTTTTTTGAATTTTTTTTATGAACATAATTGAAATGGGTATTGAAGTTCAGAAAGTTATCCAACTGGAAGCCCAAATACTTGATATTAATCCTTTACCACATTTTCTTCCCTTTTATTAAGGAACCTTATCCATTTATTCCGTTTCCCATTCTTTTCTCTCAATGTCATTTCTTCATTCATACGTTCCATGTTCTCTTTCCACTCTCGCCATCCAATCCTATCTCCGTACATGCATCTCTCATTCACGTGCACTGCCGTTTCAGGCTCTCCATAGCCACGGGGCACGGCACTTCAGGACCCAGGTTGAATCTAGCCAGTTACAAACTTCCTATTTTAAAGGAATATGACAATTTTTCAACCATGAAGTATCCAATTCGACTCGAAATAATTCTGAAAAATTTTCAAAAAAAATTTTTGTTGTGTTCAGATAACGATAGATATGCCCCTGTAGAGCTTTTCAAGACATGTGGTGAATCATGTAACCAATTTTTCTCTATCTCACTTAGTTTTCGAGATATTCGCATCTCTGTGAAACAAGACATATTTCGTTAAAATCAGACAATAACAAAGCCATTTCGCAAACAAACTTCCTATTTTGAAGGAATATGACAATTTTTTAATCACGAAGTATCCAATTCGACTCATAATTTTTCGATAGGTGGTAATGTATTGATTGGGCGAAATTCATCAGCTTTATTGGTATTAGGAACTTTTTGAATTGGTACAATAGTGCTAATTTTCAAACTTTGTGGAATTTCACCAGTAGTTAACGATGTATTAACGAAATTTAGAATAGCATGTCGTATAGTTTCAAATATCTCCTTTAGCATCCTACAGTTCAATATTTCATGAATAGAAAATTTATTGTTCCTGATTGACTTTTGAGTTCTCAGTGAAACTGGGTATACTCGTGAGTAGGGATTTTCTTGTGGTAAATGACTTGAATTTGGCATGAAAACTCTGGTAGTTTTAATTGCTAGTCAAATTCAGTGAACTTGTTCTGATCATGATTAGAATTTTGAATAATTAATATAAGAAAGTTATTAGAATTTTTGGGAAAGTTTTTGATCTTTCATTTCTACATCTTGTTACAAAAAATGTGGAAATCTTCCAAAGAAAGAAAAGCAATCAGTTTCAAAAATTAACTTGACACAAAGATGTGTAGATCATGCAAAAAAGTAACTTTCAAAACATAAATTGGAAGAGAAAGCTGTTTTGAAATGGCTATTTTCATATAAAAATTGAATTGACACAAAAGAGAAATACAAATACTATTATATGAACGCTGAATAATATGAAAAACACTTCCTTATTCTGTTTGTATTTCAAACATTCATAATGGAATCGAATCAGACATCATTCACAGGATTCCTATACATATAGATAGATAAGTACTATTCTGATCATTCCCATATTGATCTCAACTTAAGAGCCGCTGGTAGACAGCTGTTTCAGCCTGTTGGGTATCGTCAGTAACGGGCAGATGGTCCTCTATTGAAGACAAAATGTGAATAAACAACTGTGTAAACGCAAGCGAGACATACTTGGAACTGCTTATTTCATTTCAAATTGGAAATGATCAGAGTAGTACTTATCTATTCATCTTTTGATTTTCTAACAGCTTAATTGCATTTTAACCATTCTCGATTTTTCTTTGATTCAAAAATGTTGCAATATTTTTTTGTTTCAGGACATCCCACCACACATCACTGCCGAGGACATATTCGTGGGTACCACGGTCACTCTGCCCGAAGACTTTCCTTTGAATATCGTTTCCTACAATCTTCCATCGGCGGAGAAAGGCAAACAATACGGGATCGCAACCAAACAACCTCGCAAAAGGCAGAGGTCCGACGACTTGGACGAAGACTACTTCCCCCCTTCGGCGAAGAGGAAGATCCAGCATCGTCAGAGGAGAGAATCCTCTGATTCCGACTCGGATTTCGAGGTGGATGCGAAACCAAAACAGAAGCGTCGGGGTAGACCTCCGAAGCGAACCGAGTCTGTTTCGTCGGACCGCTCGAAGGACAGCGACAACTCGTCCAAGTATCGCGAACTGAGAGACAAGAACAACGAGGCGTCCCGCAAGTCGAGACTGAAGAGGAAGATCAAGGAACTCGAGATCGAGACGGAGGCGGATGAACTCACTACTAGGAATATCCAGCTGAAGGCGCAGGTGGAGGAGCTCGAGAAAATCGTAAAGAGTTACAAAGATAATATTTTTAAAATAATGTTGAGTAAGTAGAATTAGGTTTTTTTTTGTCAATGAGATTGGTGTTTTCGCGGGGTCAGACGAGAAATTTCACTTGCGTTGCTGGTTGTTTGTATCCCAGTTAATTTAGTAGTTTATATTAGTAATAATTTCAAAGATTGTATTTCAATAAGTTTCTGCCACCCTCGTGAAAGTGCCTAATGATTAGAGAATATTATTTGTTAATTTCTTGATATTTTTTATACCTTTGTAACGTATTTTACAATTTTCTATTGTTTCGTTCACGTTTCATGGACTCTGTGAAGGTGTTATAGTGGACATTTATTTTGTTATATTCTCCTAGAGATCTTATAATAAGATTGGACCTATATATGTGACTTACTTGTATTTGTTTCTTAGAATAATTCGATAAGTATTCGTCGAACTATCATGTATGTACCTGCTCTATGTAATCAATTACTTTGTTGAACTAAAATAAAATTGGTGGAAATGTACACTTTGTTTTTATTGGAGTTCAGATACACATTATTTCAATCCAAAAATGGTAATTTTTGCTCAAAATGCAAAAAATGTTCCTGGTGTGATTACTTGGCCTCCTTCCCCATGGGAAATATTTTTTCGAAAACTACCTAAAGTACTTTTCATTGCGAAGCTAAAATTTCAACTGTTTCACCATCTATGAACGAATGGTCAAAGTTAGGTCAATCTCGTTCCAGCGTCAAAAGTTTTCTACGAAACAAAATGAATCGTTGAAACACTAAGATTTCTAGGCATTTTTCTTTTGCTATTCATCGTAAGATGGCGCAACACTAGACTTTAAATGAAAACTTGTGCTATTCATCACAAGATGGAGCTAAACTACAAATAAAGTATGCACACGAAAACGATACCTTCACTACTCGCCGCAAGATGGCGCAGTGAGGTAAATATTGTGAAATGCAATACATATTTCGAAAAAAATCATCTAAAGAACAATTTCACTAACCAAGAGAAGGATAAATATAACCCTTTTAGACCAAATGCACACTTGTGTTTAGAGATATTTGAGGTTTTGTGAAACACAAGCCATTTCGCATATGACAATTTTTCAACTATGAAGTATCCAATTCAACTCGAAATAATTCTGAAAAATTTTCAAAAAAAAAATTTTGTTGTGTTCAGATAACGAAAGATATGCCCCTGTAGAGCTTTTCAAGCCATATGGTAGAGCATGTAACCCATTTTTCTCTATCTCGCTTAGTTTTCGAGATATTTGCATTTTTGTGAAACAAGATATATTTCATAAAAATCAGGCAATTACAGACGAAGATATTTCATCCATGAATCACAAATGTATTAGATATGCAAAATAAGCACTATGAAATTTTCAAGTCATTGAAATCACATCTAGAATATATACTAATTTCAGTAACTTCCAACTACTTGGATGTAAACAGAATATTATTTTAGTATCAAATAAATCAATGTTGAATTCAATTACTCTCTGAATAATTATAGATTTCGATTCTTGCACCATCTATCAACGAGTGTACAAAGTTAATTAAATTAAATCTCATTTCTCGCGTCGACAGTTTTCTATAAAACAAAGTGGATCATTAAAATCCCCAAAATTTTTATACATCTTTCTTGTGCTATTCATCGTGAGATGGCGAAACTCGACATAGAAAGTAAAGACAGTCATTCGACAACTTCAGCCATTCATCACAAGATGGAGCTGACCTACAAATAAAAAGTAAAGACAGTCATTCGACAACTTCAGCCACTCATCACAAGATGGAGCTGAACTACAAATAAAAAGTAAAGACAGTCATTCGACAACTTCAGCCACTCACCACAAGATGGAGCTGACCTACAAATAAAAAGTAAAGACAGTCATTCGACAACTTCAGCCACTCATCACAAGATGGAGCTGAACTACAAATAAAAAGTAAAGACAGTCATTCGACAACTTCAGCCACTCACCACAAGATGGAGCTGACCTACAAATAAAAAGTAAAGACAGTCATTCGACAACTTCAGCCACTCACCACGAGATAGAGCTGACCTACAAATGAAAAATATGGACACAATGTTTCTACTACTCTCCGTACGATGGCAGTTATGTGACCATTGCACAGTAAAATGTTAGTGACCATTGTGTAAATACCGTGACCAATATAGAATAAAAAATGAGAAAACTTCATGTCACGGCAGATGGCGCTGCAATACAGAAAGAAATATGAACATAAAATGTTCACCTATTTTCACACAGCCTTATCATTTAAACAATAACCAATTTTTTGCGATTTGTGAATGTGCGACGCATAAATGTTCTGACTGCATAAAAACTGATTTACAGAAATCTGGTGAAATAAAACAATTTAAATGAGATATTTATTATATAATCACTTGAATTTATGATAAATCTACAAAACATGGAATATATTCTCCATATAAACTCTTGTATGTTTGTAAAAATTAGAATATAACAATTTTAATTTTCTAAGTACATATAAATAATTACGAAAACTGTGGTCGTCACAATAAAACTTATAATTAGAAAAACATATTTTACAATGTACAACAGATAAATACTGATAACCAGTAAATGTATCAATTTATCCAAATACTGTAAATTCAAAGAGAAATTGATACCTGTTCGGAAACAAAAATCGCTCTCTGAAATAGATACATGTGTAGGTTTGATGAATCAAAAACCAACTGTTCGAATCAGAACTGATAAATCAGTTGATTTAGTTGTCATTTGATTCATCAAACCTGCATAATTTTGAATATATGAAAATTTTGAAGTAATTCGAAGCAAACTCAGAAAACTCTACTTTTGAAAGCCTGGAGATATAAATAAATTTTTTCTCAACTGGAAATCAATGCTGGTAAAAATATAGAAAATGGAATGTTTATTTGGATATAAATTGGTGCAGACTTGTATGCCTTTTGATCAATGTTTAATGCTCTATAATATAAACTAAAGTATATCATTTACACAATTTTCAACGTTGCTGAAATCATTTAATGAAAAACAGGATTTTTCTTTTGAGCTTGTTTTTAATTCTGTTTCCATTTAATTTCAAAAATACTCAAATTGTATAAGATAGTGGTCAATTTAATGGAAATGAATGTTTATAGTAGAGAAAATATATTCATCATTCTGCTAGATAGTGGAAAGTTCAATGTCAATGATACACAATCGTTTACAAGATTATTTTTATACAACTTTCTTAATGCGATTCAATAACAAGCTACATTTATATGATACCGAATTATTGAAATGTTTTTAATTCACTAGTCTAAACTGTCAAAAATTTGCTAAAATATTTGCGATTCAATAACAAGCTACATTTATATGATACCGAATTATTGAAATGTTTTTAATTCACTAGTCTAAACTGTCCAAAATTTGCTAAAATATTTCAGCAAAATTGTTCATTACTGATATTGGTCGATGAATACCTAATACAGATTTATCCCCTGATTTGAAAATGGAGCTCACCTACTCAACATCTGTTTAATTAATGTTCCTGTGTTTTTCTCTTCATTCGGTTTCGTGTATTTCTATATTATTATTTCAATTTTTAAAGTGAATTATTATCATTATCAACAGTCCATACAAATTGGTGATTTTCATTTTCTCAACTTGCAGGTAGTCAAAAACAGAAAGGGAGTGGAAAAATTGTTAGTGTTGACATCCAGATTCCAAAAAGTGGCAAAAGGAATTTTAGATATGTCTGAAATAAATTTCCGAATCCTAGTTGCTGATGTTAATACCTTGATATATAGAAAGAATTGTGGAAAACAAAATATATGGAAAGAATATGGTGTTTTTTGGTAACTTCACGAAAATTTAAATATGAAAATGCATTTTTATATGAAACACTCTTTTTTCATTCTGGTTTTATCCAATTTTAATTATTTACAAAAATAACCGTTCACTTTTTCTATTGCTGGCCAAATTCTTCATTATTTATCATCTAAATAATATATTATGAAAAGATTAAATTCGAAGGTATAAGAAGTTAAACAGAAATATTCTCCAGAGGAGATAAAATTTGAAAATATGGTCCTCAGTGATATTTGTTGCTGAATTATCTGACTAATACTCTAGATGGAATACAAGTGACAGATCTCCATTTCGAAAAAATGCCTCAAAAAACAAATACTGAGTGAATTTTTTCCATGACTTTGTACTAAAATGTAACTTGGAGAATTGGTTCTCACAGTGTTCAAATTGGAACCCGCAAGGTCTAGAAATTAACAAAGTTATTATGAATGAAAATGCAACCTTTTCTTCCTTTATTGGAAAGTTTTACAATCCTTGTTTCCAAAGGTTTATCTCAAAATGTTAGTCTTCATTTACTATTTGTCTTTTATTTTTACTTTTCTCCATATCTCCAGATCTAGTTTGAGAATTCATTGAGGTACTGAGAACGAATCAATGTCAATATGAGAAAATCCACGTATCTCAGTATGTTTTATTAAAAGTGTGACTGCATATTCAGGCAATATTTACTTTCTATTAATAACTGCAAAACAAAACCTAAAAGTTAATGAAGATTTTTAATAAGTTATCAAAAAATCTTGTTCACCCAGTATATTTTTTAGGTAGTCATTTAATAAATCTTTGGAATACTGCTCGCTGCCTGTTTTGATCTCCCCATATTATAAAAAAAAGTCACTATGAAATTAACGTTTGATCCCCTGTATTAAATTGTTTACCTCCTAATGAATGGGTGATATATTACAAGCATTGATCAATTATATTCAGCTGTGTTCAATTGACTTGAGTAACTTTTCTATCCAAATTTGAAAAACGTGCATCTATCCCTTTTCTTTGGATAGGTACATTGTGAGTCATAATAAGATCAACAAACTTCGAAAATAACATTGACTTTGGGAAAAATCCACGATTATATATTCCTCAAGAAGAGGCAAAATCTCAAATTTCAGATACTGTTCCATATTTTTTCCATTTTAGCAAAGTTTGATGTGAAGAAAGTGGAAACACGCTTGAAATCATTTCTAAAGACCCATCACAGTGCAAAGATATCTCCGGCCGAGAATTTACACTTTATAATTAGGGTTGGCAATGTTTAAAACACTGATTAAAACACTACAAAACTAAATATCACGTTTAAAACATAATTAAAAACAGTTTGTTTTAAACATGTTCAAAACACATAAAAAAATACATTATAATTTTTGTTAGAAGAAACTCATTTTATGGTATGTTTTTTACCAAAGAGTTGGCAACTTCGATATTACTAGATGGGATTCCCCTGAATGACAAACGGTAATGCGGCGAATGTTCGTAAAACGCGGGGATTTCCTGGCTTGCTTTTGTTCAGCTAGATAGAGTGAAAGCCCAACGAAATCAATCAATTCATGTTCATTCAATTCATGTTATAGATTCTTTCTCACACAAACAACTGAAGATATGAAATCATCTTAAGAACTGGGAGAGACATTTTATAAAACATATTTTATGATTTTCAATTTATTCTATAGGTTGATAGGTATTTTATATTCGAGACAATGAAATAGAGAGCAAAGAAATCAGATCAAAATAATTCAACTTTGGGAATTAGTAAATCTGTAATTAACTAAGCTTGTTGATCTAACTATGATTCACCCCGAACAAAACGAATTTTGAAAAATGTATACTTATAATTACAATATGTCTAAAATACAGTAGTGATGGCGATAATCACGTGATGGTTCTAAATGAAGGATAAGATTCAACAAAAGATCAACAATCGTGAGACAAATTAATTAAAAAAATATGTATCGATCTTCCTTACCAAACTATTTTAAGAGCTGCGAGTTATATATTTCTTCTAATTTCCTAATCACGAAGATTTTTTAAGAGAATGTGAAAGTAGATTTAAAATTATTTAAACACATAATGGAAGTACAAAACATAAACCACAGTTAAATATATACAAAAATATATATGATATATATAATATAAAAAACTATCAACAAATATTCCGGCGAGGTGGAACGTTTGGTATCTGCGAAGGAATCGGCACCGGGAATGGGGGGGGGCTATTTTAATTTTCATTCAAGCAGTTCTGCAGTCAACGGTGCTTGAAGTAATTACTCTCATCAACTGTACTAAACATTTTCAGGGAAAGGGAGAGGAGTTATCACAGAGATTATTTACACAAAAGATAAAAGAGTATTATACAGGCTGATAGTTGAGAATAGTGGATATGTGGAGTTTCTCTGTCGATTGAATTAAATTTGAGAATTACAGAGTAATTATAATTTGAAGAAAAGTGAAACTCATCACAATAGAAAATACGACGAGTTTAGGTACGGGGAATGTTCCTCCTGATGAAAATCAAGTAGTTTTCATAAAAGAGCTCTGAAACAACGCATTTTAAACTTATCATTTCAACCTTTTTCTTTAAAAAATCATTTAAATACTTAAAAAAGAGGAATGAAATAATGCATTCAACATTTAAAGAGATTCGTTTCTATTTCACCTTTTGGCAATATCGGTTATGGCTAATAAAGGACAATGAATCTGTTACCTGTATGACATGCTGTTCTGTTTACTCATGTTTCGAGACTTTCTGTGACAAATGACATTTTGTGCACCTAACCTATCTTTCTCTATATAAATAAATACAAAACAACTGTTGTTTATGTGGCTTGTGGAGGTGGTATTGAACTATAATTTATATTTTGCCCTAATTGTTGATTTATAAAGATAATTTTCCTTTTTGAAAGTAGAATATCTAGGTAAGTATAAATTTATTTCAACTTGATATAGGCGCTGTTGCCACTACGTGAATTAGAAACAAATCCCTTCAAAAATTAAAACTCAACATTTGAAACATCAATTTTAATACTTTTCGAAGTGAATTTGAAAAACTCATGAATTAAAACTCAACTTTATTTTGTTCAAACTTGCATTTGCTGTAATAACCCAAATTGAGGAACATTCCCCATTCAAGGTTTAAAAAAAACTGAAAACATAAAAGTTATTACCAAAGTAATAGAAACAAAGATGTTTTTTCCGACACCAAACTTTTACTTTTCAACAGGTTTTCAGCCTTTTTATTAATTTGATTTTTGTATAATCATACATACATATTGAACAGATTTGTAAACTTTGGCATAAAAATAATTGTATAAAAACACTTTACCCGGGAGTTAATTTATAATTTGTCATTTTTCAATAATTCTTTGAAATTTCAAAACCGAAACAAATAAAACACAAATTTTACATATATGATGGAATCGGCCGATACTTGTTAAAAATCCATAACGTATTCAAGAAACACTTTTCGCTAAACAGTTTCCCAATTTATTTTCTTCTGTTAGATATTTTTAAAAACGCCAAACCGCTGGATATCATTCGAAACACGAACACATTTCTCTGGGAACTCTCAGCCTGTATAATGTAAAAAAGAATACGTATTTTGATATGCCGTTTCAAACCACTATCAAGAAACGTTTCAGGGATATACCTTCCATGCGAAACCATTTTTTTGATCGAATTAATTGGCCCCAACTAACAACAACAACCAAACTACCGAAACCCTACGAATAATTTTCATCGTTCCCAAAACCCAGTCACTCCCAGCAGATACGGGGCTGAGATCGTTCTTCCTGGCCGAATAAAAAAAATCTCTATAAAATCTTACTAAAAATCTAGATTGAAGCCGGCGTCACTGTCGAAAGAATTCAACAGATCCTGATCGGTGAAGGTGCCCGAGTCGCCTGTTGTCAAATTGTCCAGGAACTCGAAATTGAAGTCAGCCTGCGGGTTGAACGTGCTTAGGATGTTGTTCTGGGGATTTGAAGGGGCGCCGCTCAGCTGATTGTTCATGGTGGTTTGCTGCTGGTTCGAGACGGAGAGCGACTGGGATTGCTGCATGTGGATGTTTGACATGGACATCTAGAAAAAAAAAACATTTTGGCTGATGATACAGTGAACATTTTTTGAGTGTCATCATTAGATGTTGGCAATCTTGGCCAAAAACCCACTAATGTTGGGTTTCAATTTTTAAAGGGATTTGTTTCTAATACACATATTGGCAACAGCGCCTATATCAAAAAATTATACGTACCTAGATATTCTATGTTAAAAAAAGGAAAATTATCTTTATAAATCAACAATTAAGGCAAAATACAAATTATAGTTCAATACCACCTGCACAAGCCACATAAACAACAGTTGTTTTGTTATTTGTGTATATAGAGGAAGATAGGTTAGGTGCACAAAAAGTCATATGTCACAGAATGTCTCGGAACTCGAAACATAAGTAAACAGAACAGCACGCCTCTGAAATATGTCATCTTTGTTTGTCTCATACAGGTAACAGATTCAATGTCCTTTATTAGCTGTAACCGATGTTGCCAAATGGTGAAATAGAAACGAATCCCGTTAAATGTTGAATGCATTATTTCATTCCTCTTTTTTAAGTATGTAAATAATTTTTTTAAGAAAAAAGTTGAAATGATAAGTTTAAAATGCGTTGTTTTGGAGCTCTTTTATGAAAACTACTTGATTTTCGTTAGGAGGAACATCTCCATTGACTGGTAAAATACGAATATTTTCAATAGAGTTTCACTTCATGTATCTTCATAAAAATAATTGCAAGTAACTCAATTAGTATTTCGAAAAATCAGGCGTTCCAAGATATACGAGCTGTACTTACGTGCGAGTTATGTTGCTGCATAAGGTTTTGCTGCTGCTGCTGTTGCTGTTGCATGTGCAACATGGCTTGATTCATGTTGTTCATTTGAGTCATCGGGCTGTTGTTTTGCGACAAAACTTGCCCCTGGATCAGTCCCTGGTTTAAGCTCTGCTGGCCGCCTAGGCTGCCAGACACCATGCCTTGTTGGCTTCGAAGCTGCTGGTGCTGCAGAACGGACATTTGCTGGATATTGTTCGAGTTTACGTTGAAACCTGTTGGAGAAATGGAAGTAATGTTAATAAATCAAAACTTCAAAACAAATAGAGCAATTGAACAAAAATAAAAAATTAAGAGATTCCAAGCCAAGTTACTTCACGACGTTTCGGTTGTTGGTGTTCACATTCATCTTCGGGTTTTTTACTTGTATTTTATTTCACTATTATTTCATTTCAGGTTCTTTTGCTTAATATAGTTGTCATTTTCGGCTATTCATTTTCAATCCCCTTTTTCAGTTCTTTCAAATCATTTTATATAATATTAGACAAAGAAAATCTGAACTAATGAAATTCAGAATAGTATTTATTTTTCTTATTCTTCACCATCAATTAAATGTTTAGTACCTTGTTGGAAATTGGGTCGCATGGGGTTGAAATTGGAGCTCTGTTGTTGGGCCATGAGCAGATGCCTCCACTCGCTGCTGTTGTGCTGATCCAGTCCTGGCAAAGGACCTTGTTGTCTGGCATACATCACTGTTCTCTGTTGCATCTGCGATTGATGCTGCTGCTGCTGTTGCTGCTGCTGCTGCTGTTGGGGCAGCAGGAACATATTGGAACGCATCATCGGACCTGCAATAGGAACATATCATTGTCATCTGCGAAGAAACTCACACGAATGAATGTCAAGATTTGATTGAAAAAAACAGTTCAAATCACTTTTTTCAAATATAATAAGTGGGGAGGTGAATTGTCAATTATTGATCAAAATTCTTAAATTTGAAATTCAATGGTTGTAATAGACTTTCGAAGAAATAAGAGAATGAATCCCTAACATATAACTTTACTTGTAAAAATTTTACAATACTTATTTGATTATTTTACCATTGCAATAAAAATATATGGAAAAGAAGTATACAGAGTGTTCATATACTACAAGGGTTAATCAATTTCTCTGACAATATTTACTTTCGGCTAGTGTTGTGAAACAGCAGTTGAAATATTTGTATCTAATGTACCTCTGGGTATGTAGCTCCAATGGGGAATGTACTTCAATTTGGGTTATTACAGCAAATGCAAGTTTGAACAAAAACAAAAACAATTCATAAGTTTTTCAAATTCACTTGGAAAAGTATTCAAATTGATGTTTCAAATGTTGGGTTTTAATTTTTAAAGGGATTTGTTTCTAATTCACATATTGGCAACAGCGCCTACAATGCTAGATCGGAGTTCGGGTTAGTAGTATGCTAGAAGAAGAAGAATCATGTCAATAGTGTCAAATTAAGGCAAAATATAAGTTATAGTCCAATACCACATAAACAACAGTTGTTTTGTTATTTATTTATATAGAGGTAGATAGATTAGGTGCACAAAATGTCATATGTCACAGAATGTCTCGGAACTCGGAACATAAGTAAACAGAACAGCACGCCTCTAAAATATGTCATCTTTGTTTGTCTCATACAGGTAACAGATTCATTGTCCTTTATTAGCTATAACCGATGTTGCCAAATGGTGAAATAGAAACGAATCCCTTTAAATGTTGAATGCATTATTTCATTTCTCTTTTTCAAGTATTTAAATAATTTTTTTAAGAAAAAGGTTGAAATGATACGTTTAAAATGCATTGTTTTAGAGCTCTTTTATGAAAACTACTTGATTTTCGTCAGGAGGACCATTTCCCATCGCAGTAATAGATATAGTTGGTAGTTATAAACAGAGAATATTTTTGATATACAACATGGACAATAAACTAACTTCATAACAATCATAGTCAAATAATAAAAAATTTGAATACAGATAATTTTTCTTACCGGAGGGCGGCATCGGCTGGTGTGGCATCCGCCTGATGTTGGGCGGCGTGGCCGCGTATCTCGGCTGCATTCCTTGCATCATACCGGCGCTTGCCTTGTACTCGGGGGGCGGTGGACGAACCATGTGCTGCTGCTGCTGTTGCTGCTGCATGGCGGCCTGTTGCTGTTGCTGAGCACGCATCAGTTGCTGTTGTTGGTGAAGAAGTTTCTGTTGCTCGAGCGATTGCTGTGCCGCATTGAGCAGTCTTGGTCCCATGTTGCCCTGACTAGGCATTGGTCCCGGGCCCATAGGGACCGATGCTCCCATCGGATTGCCCACTCCTGCAAATATAATAATAATGAACAATTTGGAACAATATTTTATTCAATTATCTTCAAAAACAAGAAAATTGTTCCGCATAATGTTGACAAACAGAGAAATTTGAATGCACTGTATGGGACACCGCCTACAAATAACACAAAAAGTGTTTTGTGTGCAGAGAATTCGTCCAGGAAGGTTCTTTATCTTTAGATAATCTGATGACAAAAGCTGTCTCCAGAAAATATACAGAAAAAGTCCGGGAAGGTTGCCTCCAAATAAACTTTACAGAAAGATTGTTTGCCTTCAGATGCTCTGCCCAAAAAAGGTTTTCTTCTCTAGATAAATCTGTTTAAAAGGGTTGTTTGTCTCCAGCTAATCTGCTCGGAAAGGTGGTTTGCCTCTAACCAGTCTGAGTTCAAAAGGTTATGCAAAAACAAGCACTCTTTCCAATCACTAAAACTAATTCCTAACTCTTAAATCACTCAGCAACTTGAAGATGATATACTAGAAGACCATCTCACATTTCACTGCTCTACATAGACTTTATGGGGACATTCAAAAGTAAATTTCAACTTCACACAGTATATTTCTTTGCATGATCGAATCATAAAAAACTTCTCAACTCACCTGGTCCACCAGCTCTTCGCAGAGATTGTTGAGTGAAGTTAATGGTCTGCGTTTGAGACAAAGAATACGTGTCAGAATGGCCGCCGCCCATGCCGCCAACGTGATGCATGCCGGGGTGCATGCCGCCCATGCTACCGGGCATTCCTCCGGCGCCGCCCATGCTGCCGGACATGTTGGACGGCAGGCCGCCAGGGCCGCCCAGGTTACTGTTAAGTCCGCTCATGCCGCTGCCGTGTCCCATGTTGGGCATGCCCATGTTGCCGGACATGCTTTCAGATCCTACAAAAAAATGTTGAGTAAAATAATAGCAGTAGAGAATTGTAAAGGCATTTTTGGGGAAAAAATATTCCAAAATCGGTCTGTAAGTGATTATACGAGCTTCATCTGCAGGGTTTTTTCTGTGAAGTTTGGGAAGCAATTTTTTTTGAGTTGGCAAAACGCTACACTTTAGAAAACCGGTTAAATATGAATGTTGAATCAAAATATTCATTTTAATAATGTATTTTTATCGCATCAAGCCTCAATAGATTCAATAACACTTCAAAGTATTTTTAAGATTCAAAATCAGTCTCTCAGATGGCGCCAACCTCCTGCTACTTTTGCAAATGATAACTCTGACCTCGATAATTCATTGAAGAACAGATACTGTTGATTTACCCTTGAAAAATTATAATCTTTATTTTATTATGAATTACGGTTACCATAATATTCGATTTAACCATTTTGTATTTATCTAACGTATAAATGATCATCTAAGCATTTTTTATCTCCCTCTTATCAGCATCTAACATATAATAAGAAATGAATGGAAACAAACAAAAAATGTTTTCAATTAAAAATCTCAGATTTTATAGATGAATGATAGTCAACTGATGAGCTGTTGGTTTTACACATGACAACTTATGCAAGATCACTTTCCGACTCAAATTCTAATTTGTTCAGTTTATATTATTTTCACAATCATGTGATAATTATAATAATGACAATACATTATAGAAAGTAAACTGAGTCACTAGGATAACAGAACTCAAAAGCCAAAACATGAGATCTACTTCAAAAATAGTAGACCTGGCAACACTGAATACGGCGCTCTTCTCGTGCAATTTCTTCTTCATCTGCAGTGGAATGATTCGAAATATCACAGTGTAATTGCATTGAGTTTTTTCAATCTTTCAGGAATTATTCTGCTATTCCAGGAGGAGACAAATAAAAAATCATGAAAATCGGTCCACAAGTAATAGTAAAGTAACTTTGGATACAATTCAACATAAAAATCTCGTCAGTTCCTGCCCGAGAAAAATGAAACTTACCCGGCATATTTCCTGAGGCGGGCATACCGCCCATCCCTTGGATTCCACCCCCAACGGACTGCTGTTGCGATCCGGACATCTGCTGACTGCCTGGGTGCATGTCGCCACCTAAATGCGATCCCGACTGATGATTCATCGAGTTCTGGGAACCCATGCTGTTGTGCATTGGGGAATTCTGGTGTTGGGGCGTCCCCAAAGGGCTCTGCTGCGACCGTTGGTGATGGTGCTGTTGCTGGTTGTTGGTAGAAGAAGATTGTGAGGTCGATACGCCTCCGTTCTGGCTGGAGTGATGGCTGAAATGCATGCCCTGCTGGGCGGCGATCGAAACGTTGCCTTTGAGGTCGCCACTGAGGTGGACATGTTGGCCGGCGGATACCTGGAACGTCAAGTTACGTGATTGGTTAAAATAATAATAACAATTAACAGTATTCTCAGTATTTCTCAAGATAGTAAATTGAAGTAAACAACGGTAATGACAATTCTTTTTCAACATTTATTTACGGGCAAGAGATCCCAAAAAGGTATTTAATTTGACTGAGAAACATTTATTCATTAAGTCTTGTAAATTGCGTGAGGTAACAATAGAGATCAATCAGATGAATGGCTCCGGCAGGAAGTTGTCGTCTATGCAAACACTATCCTTTCGAAGATTTCCTCATTTGCAGGAGGGGTGAACAATGAAAGAAATATGAGACAAAAAGGGATGCAACCACCATAAGCTGGGCAAAGTGGTGGTATGCTTCTTTAAAAGCCTTTTTTTGAGCCAGATGTTGCAAGAATTATTTAATAAATTGAAAAAATGTAAATTTGTTTGGTTAAAGTTATTTTTACTAAGGTGTTCTCGTTAATTTCACCTTACACTTTGTATATGAACATTAAAGTAACGAGGTGAATCAAGGGTTGAAACCAAAAAGTTAAAAAAAAAATCCCCTTGAAAATATGACAAATCTAATAATGTTCACGTCTAAGTTTCCGTGAACAACTTTTTATTCAAATTTATTGACCTAAACCTTTTAAATTATATTGTAAAAAAAATACTTTTAGGAAAGATTCGGTTTGTTTTTGAAAAAAATATTTGGTTTCCTACATCTACATCAATAAATAAAAAATTTGGAAAACTGCTCAAGAAAGTCCGAAAGAAAATAACTACAATGAAAACTTTTCATAACGATATGAAGATCGTGCACAAAAATTTCTTTCGGATACAAACTGGAAGAGTAAACAACTACTTTCACATGAACATTACATTCAAGACTTTCATATGAACATTGAATTAGTCCAAAATCACTTTTATCTCATTCAGTTTATGATCAAAAGCCTTTGTTGTGTAATTGAAACATAGGAACTCTACACAACGTAATGCATAAACGAGTATCGATATAAAATAGTAAATGGACCTGTAGAATCCTGAATGTTGTACTCGAGTTTCGGGACAACTTGTTTTATAATCTCATCAGCACCGTTTTAGATAACATTGGAAAGCCAAAAAGTTTTTTCTAAAAAACAAATATCTCTTAAAAATATTAATTTTTTAAAATGAATGGAATTTCTGTGGCTGTGATTAAATTAACTAACGGTATGAAAGTGTATCCGACCTGTCATCGTGACTAGAGTAGAGTCGAGGATATTGGTGTTCCACGTAAGTGAAATTTTATATCAAAATAATTTCATATCTTAAGTAGATAATTTGACGAATCTCAGATTATTCACCCGGTAGCGAAGAAGCCAAGTGCCTTTGCATTATAAATTACATGGCAGAGTGTGTCAGTTTTGCTATATAACGGTTTCGAATCAATTTGAATGAGGAAGCGTATCATTTTCCCACGAGTAGCAGTAAGTAGTCTGTGATGTGTCTGTCACGTATCAATATGAACACATTCTCGTTTTGCGAAACGAACAAACAATGCAAATTGAGAATTATGAGCGGACTGATTTCGATAATATGTTCCAAAAAATCAATCGAGGTTTCGAGCAGGATACTAAACAATAGCTTATCATCTCGAGGCAAAGAATACATTAACGTTTTTAGCTACCTTGGATAAAAAAAACGAAGCAGCGATTGAGTGTTAGCGAATTTCAAAGTCGTGTATTTGTAATCTGCATTGAGAGCAATAAAGGAATCAGGTCGTGTTGAAAACAATCAGCACCACCTGGTAAGTTATCTCGTCAGGTATGTGGTACTGGTTTAGACGGAATCCTTGAAGCGGAAAGAATACAATTGCATAAGTACTGTTCCAGTTTCAAAGGTTAATTATGAGTTCATCATAACAAAGTTTACAGGGAAAAATATATATTTTCAAATGATATCTGAGAGAGCCTTTGGTTATCCGAGAAAGTACGCTATAAAATACAGGGTGTTCCATCACTCATGAGCGAGATTTTCGTTACTATCAAATTAGACACGACCGAGTCAACAGTTAAGAGGGAGGAACGGCACGTTAAGAGGGAGGAAACTACTTTATGAAAATTAATAATACTATCCGTGATAATAATTAGACACTTTTCACAAGAATTTTTTTTTTTAGATGCGTTTCGCTAATACCGTAGCTTTCGGTAGAAATGTCTACATTCGATTTGTTTGGTAGTATTCAGAAAATCGTGCGCATCATCTCATCATATCCATTCATTGCGAAGAGGTCTTCAGGTGGTGATAAATGACAATTTCCCTGCAAATCGCCCCTATCCGTTCTGGCATACTATCGCAGTATATCGGAACGGGGCGATCACTCACGAGGAATAAGTACGTCCGAGAGTGGCTCCACACCAATTTCGCATCGGATTTGATCGAGGTGATCGACGACCAGGGGAATACATCCACGTCCGATGCCCGTATTGCGTCATTTGTTATAGAAAAGCATCACGTTAAGTGAGATTCCAGAAAAAGTATATGCTACGGACTTGCTGGCTGTCGATGGAAGGAGACAGGAATTAAGGCCGGATGGATGGACTCCACTCGAACGGTACAGAGTGTTTCTAATCCTTGCATTTATAATTCAATTACTTATCATTTGAAATACAGTATATGAGTTGATGTTTACGCTCTTCAAGAACTACTAATACAAAATAATTGGCAAAAGTTGGTGAAGATCATGAAGGTAAGAAAGATCCTTCAATTCTGGAAGGCAAGCTATATATTGACAGAAGCTAATTTATTTTACATGTGTCTCATGCTTATTATCTAATCTAAAGAAATGTGGGGAAACCCAAAAACTAATGTTACACGGGAACAACGTAGAGGATACGTTCGATAGATTTTTTCAAACTATCATCAAGGTAGGCAAAATACGGTTCCTCGAGGAACTGTATTTCGCCAGAACAGAAGACAATAATAATGGTAGATGCAAACAATTCTTGATTTAAACTGTGTATACGGTGGTTGGAACTAATTTTGAATTTTAATATTTCTGAGTTGAAAGATGATGAAGCCGTCTTGAATTTACATCGTGGAGATAATTTCTCTTTCACATTCATTTCGTTATCAAAGTTTGAGTTGGACCTATTTCAATCTATCGTCAATGCTTCAGAATAATATTTAGGTACTGTTTCGTTTTAAGTAAACTTTTTACTGAAATGAGAGACAAATAATGAGAAATCTACTTCCTACTTCAGAAGCTACAATATTTTGAAGCAGCTTTCATTTGATCAAACAAAGCTAGAGATTATTGTTTCAAGCTAAGAAAGAAAGGTTCAAGTTTACAAAAGTACATCAGACAATTCGTGAAATTTTTATGAATTGCGACTTAATCACGTTTTCCTAATAGAGAAGGTACGTTTGAAATAAAGATGAAAAGATGGAATAAATTACCGTTTCGTTGACTTCACCGAGCACCGAAGAAAACAATATTTCAAGATTTATATCTCCGAAACCCGTTGAGGCAGTAGAATGACGACTTCCGTCGAACGCCACTGTCGCACCAAGATAATAACCCCCGGTGTTGCCACTGTCCCGATAATTATCGGAATCGAGGATATTTAAAGGCTTGGCGGATAATTCTAAAAATTGGATAACACTGGAAAATTCTGGTAAATCAGATGTTCTTCGTTTGTCGCTTTTTTGCATCACGTAACAATAATTATATCTTGTACTAAGATATAATTATGAGTACTGGGGCTAAACTCCTCTAGTTTATATACATGTACTCGTATGTTTCCCAATTTGAAATTTGTCATTTGCGGAAGCTTCTGTCGAAATTGTTTTTAGGAACTTACAGTTGATAAAAGATAGTAGAAGATACGTGGCAATTGAATACCATGGTATTTCATGGTGGGTGCTTTGAAACATTAAACTGCAAATGGGGACTTAGAAGTGTTGCATAGTCATTGTCAGTTTGATAACCAATGACATGTCTACTTTCTGTATTTTAACACCAGTTTGACCTACTTTAAAATAATTCAATAGACCACATCATATGAGGATTCCACTTGGAGGTGGATACTCTGTTTCTTTGTCATTAGTCTTATGTTGATTGCTAACGCAATTACCTCAATTAAATATTAAGAATACTCTTTGGAAGAGAATGAGCAAATATAACTCCAAAATGAACAATACAATAGTCGTCTACATATGACAATTAACACTAATGACAAAGTACCCAACATAGAAAAAATAAACGTTCTCTAACGAAATCCTTATTGAATATGTTCCATCACCCACAATTCTACAGAATAAGAAAGAACAGGTGTTCTATGATTGGCAACACTGATATTTGACAAATAATAATGAAAAGACGTGTAATGACTGGGATATAAATTGAAAAACGTATCGTATCTGTTAAGTTTGATGAAAGTCTATATTTTTGTTTTCGTGGATTTTCTTGAATAGTTTTCTGTATACAATGATGATTCTGATATTTTTAATCATTTAATGAGATTGATTTAAATTTTGTTTTTGTTCAAAATAAAGGGTTGCTGTGTTTTTGTTTCATCTCAGTTTGAATAAAAACAATAGAATACCTTGTTCCAATTCAAGTACAATCATTCCGAGTTATAAAAATAACTATAATTTTACAGAGCTGTATGTGAAATTTCAACATTTTGAAATAGTTTGGTATTGAATTCATTGTCAGCCCTATAATTTAAAATTTCGTGCGGATAAAAGCCGATTTTTTGAGCCGGAGCTCCGGATTTTGTGACAATTGGCGTGTGGCAGCACTGCTAACAGACTCCAAACCATCTTGCTAGTGCATTTGACAGAAAGCAGTGTCGACAAGAAGGCCGGTGTGCAGCGGCGGTCACGTTCCCAGAGATCGTTGCACCGGCTTACGCCCGAAGCGCGATTATTGCCTCTCCCGGTGCATCAAACGGCATCGTAAATTTCTAGATGAAACATTCCCGAACGTGGCGAAGCTGAGGAAATTGCTCAATATATGACGAATA